CCGAAGGGCCTACCGGAGGCCCTGTTGCCGTTGTTTAGCGGATTGAATCTCCGTGCAATAGTGCGCTTGATGCTTAAGAGATGGCGCCAAATGGCGCGTGCTATCATCATCAGTGGCTGGAACGAGCAGACAACATTATTGCGGCAGTTTTCGGGGGTGCGATAATTACTCGAGGAAAAAATTTTTCATATTTTTCTTGGGCGATGTGGGGGGTGCGAGAATTACGCGAGTGCGAGGATTATGCGAGTAAATACGGTATTACTGTTTCTGTTAAGGCTCTCTCTGGGTCCGTCTAGCGATTCCTGCAACAGTGCAGCACGTTGTATACTACCTCCTTGTCAGTTTTTTGTGTTGGTTTCTAATAACCAAGTCTATCCGGGTATGCTGATAGAAGTGGTGCACAAAAAAAAATAAATAAATAAAAAACATGAGGGGGCTTAATGTGGTAGCTGGAACATTATTTTTAATACTTCATCTTGGTGGGCATTTGTTCTTTCTCTATTTTGTGTCCTAGCCTTATGTAATGTCTCCTCCCACTTATTCACTTATAAACACTAGTCCTGAATTATAGTGCCGTTTTGAGATTATATAGACTTTTGATTGTAATGAATAGAACTTTTCTTTAATTGCGGTTAGGATTCTCAGCATACTTCAGCGACTTTGGAGCTATCTGTCTAGGTGAGCTTAAAAAACTTGTACTACTAAATAGATCATAATTGTTTATATACGCTCATCAGGAGTTTTCACTGACTCTTAGATGGCGTCTAGCAACAACAGTTTGGCCTTTCTTGTCACCGTACAGAATTTAAAATTCACTTTTTTTTTTTTTTGTGGTGGTGGGCAGAATTAAACTTTCTTAACATGGGTTCAAGCACAGCAGCCCAACACTTCATTATTGTGCTAGGTGTTTTTGTGAGCAGCCAGGTAATAGTTAGTGCAGGCATATATTGCCATTGTGCACGTCTTAAAGGTCATACAAGAAAAAAAATTAGATGAGATGGCACACTTCGGGAGAACCTCGGCTCCACATGCCCCACACTACTCGTACACATGAACACTACAATCTCAGATGTGCACACATACATGCACACACACATGCATACACACACTATAAATATATACAATAATATACACACAATATAAAGAAGGGATAGTGGCCTTTGCACTGGTGGAGGGTGCTGTGTCTTGAGAGCAAAGCTAATACACTCAAACCTCATTACAAAGTTGCATATTCCATGAAAACAACTTCGTTCGCATTTGAAGATTCATTGTAAAAGCATATTTATAATTCTATAGATATTGCAAGACTATTCTTAATTTACTTCATTATAACTGATATTTCGTTATATGCAGGTTCGTTACATCGAGATTTGAGTGTAGCACATAGCTTCTGCATGGTGTGTAATGTTGGTCCTGATGAGGTGCATTACTATATTGCTTGAACTGTGATTGCATTAACTTGACAACCGTTGCACTATAAGATATATTCTGCCAGGATATTTTTTTTCTTCATGGTCTATATCATGTTCTTATCTAACTAGCACCTGCATATACCGTATTTACTCACATAATCCTCGCACTTTTTTCGGCGGAAAACCGATGCAACGTTGGGGGGTGCGAAAATTACGTGGAGAAAACTTTCCACGAAAACGTACAGAGCGAAAAAGAAAACGAAGTGGCCGCAAATCAAGATTCTCACACCAGCAACTAACAGCAAGCTTTGAAAAGTAATAATTAAAATTTGCCTCAACAATAAAAGCAGAGGTTTAACACACAAAATGTGCAAGCAAATAGTCGAGAATTAGAATACTATACGCAAAGCTTGTGGGTGTTACAGTAGCGTTCGTCACTCAACCAGAGCCCTCAAAAAGCAAGCGTAGGATGTCAGTATTGGGCTGATAGCTATTCAACAAAATCGTCCACAGTTTCCTTCTGAAGAAATAAAGTTTACCATCAATCCCTATCTTAAGCACACGGCAGGTTCCAACGCGTCTTGGTGGCTTTCAGCTGCCGTCACTAGTAGCGAACGCAAAACTCGTCGACTCCAAAGGGCCTACCAGGCGGCCCTGTTGCCGTTGTTTAGTGCATGATCAATCACTTTCAGCTTCAAAGCAGCCGTGTAGCTTCAGTATCGCCCCATAACGTTACAAGATTATCGACACAACATACAAAACACGCCGCAATGCGCACTTGCGGCTTCGGCTTGGCTTGGATTGAACTGAATCTCCGTGCAATAATAGTACGCTTGATGCTTAAATATGGCGTCAGACGGCAGCGCTATCATCATCAACGGCTGGAACGAGCGGACGACGTTATTGCAGCAATTTTCGGGGGTGTGATGATTACTCGAGGAAAAAAAAATTGTAGTTTTGTTGGGCGATGTTGGGGGTGCGAGAATTATGCGAGTGCGAGGATTACGCGAGTAAATACGATAACCTGCACACACAATTACAACCTGAAAAGAACTTTAAGCTTCAAAGTGAATTATTTTTAGTAGAACTTAAATATACTTTCTGTCATTGTGAAAGGCTCATACTTGGTTATTTCACCTTTCCAGACGTGTATGGACGTACAACTTTCACCGTCCATTGCTTTTACACAGCCTTCCGAAATTCTAGTTCAGGGTTCTAGATTATTGTTTGAGTGTGTTTGTGGACTTGAAAAGTTGTTACGAAGTCCTTTCGGAATCTCTTCCAAATCTATTGCATCACTTTAGTTGCCTAACTAAAATTGATATTCTTCGTTTAACATATTTTTCAAAGGGCCTCTTGGCAAGTGCCAAGTGTGTTTGTGGACTTGAAAAGTTGTTACGAAGTCCTTTCGGAATCTCTTCCAAATCTATTGCATCACTTTAGTTGCCTAACTAAAATTGATATTCTTCGTTTAACATATTTTTCAAAGGGCCTCTTGCCAAGTGCTGTTGAAAACTTTGGTTATGGACTTTAAATTGTGAGGCACCACTTAGGCTGTGCTATTACAGTAAAATCACGGGGGTACAATCATTGGTCATGCAAAAACTGGGGTAATTCGAATTTTTCTGTGCCAGCAGCCAAGGCCCGAAAGACTACTTGCAGCACAGTATGCTTGTGAAATAAAATTTTCAACCTCCAACATTCTATACGAACATACTCTGTGCCAACAAGCTGGTAGTCTAGATTCATTCTCCTGGTTGTTGCTTTTGAGAAAATGGGCTCATGTGCCAGTTGGAATTATAGGCATTTCGCAGTGGGGGGGAAATGGACAACTGTTCTACACTGCCCTGCAGATGGGAATATGTGCTGCCGAAGGAATGCTGTGATGCTATAATAGCAAGACACTCTGGCTCTTTAAGATTTACTGGCCTTGTTCCATCGCAGGCAATACGATTTTGAAGTCATTTTCGCAACAATACATTCGTGTGATACAGAAAAATATACCAAAATTGGCAAAGGGCTACTAGCTGTCACCGACACGGCACATTTTCTCCCTTTACTACACACACTTGCATTTGTGTGTAACTTTGAGTGTCAGTATAATTGTTGATGTCTAAAACTCCTAGCTGTCACTCAGAGTTGTCAATGACATGACTGCATCTCTGAAAAATCGGTATTCTTGCTCTACAGGCACTTAGTAGATGAGGTTCACCTCAGAATATGGTTGGAGTCGCCGAAAGGGGAAATAAGTAACAATTTCATTTTTCAATGTTCTCTTTTTTGACACACATCCACATTTAGTCTCTAGTCACCCATTTCTGGTATCTTTGTCGTACATAGAAAACGGAAGCAAGCACACATGTTTTCTAGCGCCGACACTGGAATTGGTGGTCCTTAAAACTAAAAGGTTACCTGTTCACTCTTTCTTACGTAACCAGGTGATGGGAGGCACAGCTCACTGGCATTGCGGGCACACACACATACAGTTATGTTCATTCATTAGGTGCGCCTTTCAAAAGGGTCAGTTGGAGCGGTGGGCAGTCTATCATAGGTGATGATGCGGAGTGAGGTGGAAAAGAGGGGAGAGCTTTCTTGTAGCGTGATATGTTGACATACTAGTTTTCGTTTTTTTTTTTTTTTGGTGATATGAATTTTGTCAGAAATATTTTTCGTGGCCCTATTCCATTGCACTTATTTAAGCTTAACTGTTAACATCGATACTATCTGTTTGGAGAAGTGCCTTTAGCTGACATTCCTCCCATACTGAAGCTGATGTTCCTGGTTATGCTCAAGTCGCAAGCCTTGCCTCTTTTCTTTTTATATTCTTTTGTGCTCTACGAGTTTCTGGTGGCTGGCTCAAGCATTCCGCATTGAACAAGTTGCTGAAGTTGTGTGCGGTAGTAGATGATGTTACCTTTCTCTACAAGCTGCTTGTTCAATTTGCAGTAAATGTTGTAGGGCCGTGTGCTCAGATTTGGGTGCACGTTAAAGAACCCCAGGTGGTCGAAATTTCTAAAGCCCTCCACTACGGCGTCTCTCATAATCAAATGGTGGTTTAGGGACGTTAAACCCCACATATCAGTCAGTCAGTCAGTCAGTCAGTCAGTCAGTCAGTCAGTCAGTCAGTCAGTCAGTCAGTCAGTCAGTCAATCAATCAATCAATCAATCAATCAATCAATCAATTTGCAGTTGTCGGGAACACTGTAGTGCTATACTTCCTTAAAGACAAGTTTGTCAGCATTCAATTTATGTGCAACATTTGTCAGTTTGCAGCACTGAAACCTGTTTACAAGCCTTTGTGCTCTAGCGAGCATTGTAGAATGATATGCTTCTGAATCTTGGAAACAGCTTTGGTTGGTTCATTCTGAGGAAATTCTGCAGTGCAGACAAGCAAGGGCAAAGAGACTCGTGAAAAGCAAGGCACGGTGTTAGTGCTGTTTTCATGTTCTTTTTTTTTTCGTCTGTCTGTTCGTGCTTCAGAATTTCCGCAGGTATTTGGAATACATAAACTTAATGCTATATTGGTGCATTACCAAAATTTGCATGTTTGTTTCTTGCAAGGGTCCGACATTTTTTTCTCTCCTTTAGAAATGATGCTGGAGACCCTGCTGGAGACAACCAAAATGAGGTAGGAATTGATTCTTCAAGAGGCACTGTCGAATGTCTTGGCGTGGTTGAAGCAAGTTTTGTTACTATAATTCTATATTTATTTTGCCTTGGAGAAATTATGCTGCACTGTACCCTGCATTCTTCATGAGGAAATGTACGAAAATCTTGGCCAAACCAGAAATTGGCCAAACCACTGGTTTTAGCTTATCCAAGTTCATGCAAAGGTAGCATATGGAAGCACACTATAATGTCGCATGTGGGATCATAACATTAGTGATCTTTCTGGAAAGTACTACAGCACAATCACAAGTTGTCCTTAATGATACTGGAGTAATGACTGCTCTAACACACCTCGGCGACTGTGGCACATGGCTCATGAATTTTGATTTCTCTTGGTAGCAAAGGAAAGAAACCTCGAGTTGAAAATAATTTGTTGCTCCTTTCACACTAGAATGCTAGCTAACTAAAATATGCAAAATGATTATAGTCTCTTTGTGTCGACGTCGAGGGACTTGTGAAAATGAGACTTGCCTTGCAAAGTTAACGCTGGACATTTATGGCTGAGACCATAGGGCAAGGAAACCTTTGAAGAGGTGCAAACTAGCTTTGCTCTATCAAGTATGGTGTTTAACAACGGACTGCAAAGACTTACGGTCCCCATTAACTCTTTTCTCCCACAAACTGTGTTGTAATGGGGCATTAAAAAAACATAATTTAATAAGTTTTCTCAGTCAGAGGCATAGTGGAGGCCATGGTTGTTGGCAAGGCCTATTCTATTTAACTGACTACAGTGGACTCTCAATAAATGGAACCTGAAGGGACCGGAAAACTATATTCCATTTAGCAGGAGGTCGGTTTACTGAGATGTTCACACGGGTGCAGAATACAAGCCAGAAACCAAGTATTGCAGAGGCAATAGTTTGGTTTAAGCAGTAGCTTTCGTTTAGCAGATTTCCGTTTACTGAGAGTCTACTGTAGTTACTTTACTCGTGTTTGGACAGGTAGCACAGCTAGGTTTGTTCCAGTTAATGTGCAACATATGCTGGAACCAGGCAACCAGGCAACATATGCTGCAAGCTCGACTTGTAATGTACCTGAATGTGTTATAACATGGTCCTGAAGAAATCACTGGTCTGGTGTCACTGCAGTTGACCTGTAGTGTCCGTTCACTTGTGCTGCACCCAAACGCATTGAGCATAGCGGGCTTCCATGTGCAACACTTTTGCATGAAAGGTGATCATGCTGTAGAAGTGCCGATGGGTTGATACGTGTACACCTCTCTCATCCTGAGCAGTGGAACATTCACTAATGCAGATTATGCTTATATGGATGCGTGGAAGGGCTTGTGCTGAGCTTTTGCTACTGTACAACAGGAATCATAGCTAGTGGGTAAGGATTCATCATAAAGGATTGCAGGTAAAGCTTGCAAATGTGGACACAAAAGATTAAAACAAGGTGACATAAATGCCGACTATCAACTTAGAAGACGCACTGTGTCGGGCAGGAAAGACTCAAATACTTATCTGCGCATGGGGGGACATGGTAGTACCACCTCTCAATTGGGCACATGTGAGGGTCAGTGTGAAAATAACCATTCAAGCATTTTATTTCTTCTTTGTGTAAGTTATTAATAGCCGACTTGCATATGCACTCCCACCAGTCAGACTTGGAATGTAAGTAATAGTGTATGCACATGAAAGCTTTATTTAATTTGCACACTGTCAAATGAGCTTCTTCTATTTTTACGTAACTGACTCATTGCATGTGTAACCACTTCCTTGCATAGACATTGCTTAAATGTCTCTGAATGTTCCAGGTTTTCTTAGAACTACTACACAAACCTCATTATAACAAAGTTGCATCTTATATGAAGATATGTTGCTTATATCCAAAAACTCAATATAAAGGTTTATTCCTAAAACTGTATTGCAAGACAATTTTCATTTACTTTGTTATAACTGATATTTTCTTATATTCGGGTTCGTTACATCAAGGTATGAGTGTACTTGACAGTGCAGAAGAAACAAGATGCCTGAACGGTCATCTCTCGCACAGACCTCTGCTAGTGTCAGATTTACCAATGGTGCCACCATACCTGCACATGCATAGATAAGTTTCTGTGTATACTTTATTTCATTTGCAGTGCACCATTTTATTTTACAGTTGGCATTTGTGCAGTCTTGTTTTTCCTTGTCTCTGTGTTTGCATACCTTACATATTTTTCTGCTATAATGGCTTTTGCAAAGCTTTCACATGGCTTTGCATTGTTTGCCTGTGCTCTCCCTTCATTTGTACCTGCCACCACTTTTGTTCAATGTTTCCTGCTACCCTTATTCTTTCTTCCTCTCCTGCTTTCTTTCATAAAAAAAAATTTAGGAATCTGAGCCTGTAAGTTCAGCGTTTGCCTTGCTTCACAGTGTGCAGCAAAGAATTTTGAGCTTGCCACAGCTGATTAAATATCACCTTGGAAGTCTTCGCGTGTACATTGAGAATCGACTTGGCTACATGGTAAGCGGTGTCAAGTTTTGTGATGTCAGTAGTGAAGATGTACAGACTTTTGGAATTGTGTGGTGTTTGTTTGCTTGGATAAGGGCTATTAAGCAGCATTTTGTTGTGAAGTTTAGGTGCTACAAAGCACAGACATGTACAAAAAGTATCATGAAACATCAGTATGTAATTGAATGATTTACATGTTCTGGCTGCAGAATTTGGCACATAAATCTTAACAGTATGATTGTATTTTTTTTCTGAAATATGTATAATCAACTATGAAGCATTGTGAAATGTTTTCATTGATAAGTGTTCTGTTCCTTTGCAATGTCAGTGCATGCTAAAGAATACCAGATGGTCAAAATATCTGGAGTTCTTCACTTCGACACGTCTCAGGATCATATTGGTTTCGGCTCATAAAACCACACGAGTTATAAGTATTATCGTAACCTTGTACTTCATTGTGTGCCTACTCTCTACAAACTGCAACTTTTTAGGTCTTGGTACTTGTAGTCAAGTGCTGCTGACATTGACGGAATGTTGAAGTTTGTGATTGTAATGTACTTTTGTATGGTTTAAAAGTGAACAGTTTTGACAGAGATCTGTCTGACTGCACGAAAATTCATACAAATAAAACAAACTCCAAAGTTTCTGGAGTTTCTAGAGTTAAAATTCAAAGTTTCTAGAGTTAAAATTTAAAAACTATAAATTTGCGCGAAGTTTCGAGAGCGATTTTGTTCCTTGTTCAGGAGTGTTTGGTGTATCGGTAGTACTACTTGCAGCTAGCGTGATCATGAATACTGCTTGATAAATTTGTTCGATAAATTTAGGATAACAAAGTAGTTTAGCTAGCAGGGAAGTTGTTGCAAGTAAATGCATATGTGTAAATTTAATTCTTGCGGCTTCAATTTTAAGTGTGGAGCACTTTAGGGGGCTGGGCTGTCGTATGTTGTCGTTATCGCTTGACGTAATGCTCCATGTGTAGCATATTGAGTGCCTGTGTGTGTCAAGAAGCCTTTTTTCTCTTGTTCTTCAAATGCCATGATGGTAGTCTAGTGGCTAAGGCACTCTGCTGCTATCCCGCAGGTCGCGGGATCGAATCTCGGCCACAGGGGCCGCATTTTCGATGGAGGCTTGAGGTCCATGTGCTCAGATTTGGGTGCACGTTAAAGAGCACCAGGTGGTCGAAATTTCTGGAGCCCTCCACTACGGCGTCCCTCATAATCATATTTTCAGGACTTTAAATCCCATCAATAATAAGTAAATAACATCAACAAAAAACAAGTAGTGCGCTCGGCATAACGCAGGTAAAACCACGCATCAAAAAATAAAAAAAGGAAGCAAGCTTGAAATAATAAGAGAAAGGAAAAATAGGACAAGCAAAAAAAGATAAAGGAAGAATAAACGAAAATAAAGAGAGAAAAAAAGCCAGAACTGGCAAAGAGTAAGAGTCGAGGAAAGAAAGAAGACTGCTTAGCTTCATGCTTCCTTCAGGCTTGACAGCCCTATGCAAGGCTGCTTTAATATTTTTTTAATTTGTCATACTGAACAAGCTTAGTGCATCATGTATGCCTTAGTTTTCAATGAAGGCAGAAGTTGAGGGAAATCTGGAAGCTTGAAAAAGTGAAAAAGTTGTGAGTATGGGTTGTTGTTGGTGCCAACGTCTTGACTAGCGAGCGAACTTGTCTTCTTCAAAGATTCTTGGGATGAATAAGAAGCCTTGAAGAAGACAGGTCCGCCTGCTGAAGTGGTGTCTACAGTGACGCCCCGTGCTGACAAATTTTTCATCTCCACAATTCACTATTTTTATACGTGTGCATAGATTGATTGTCTCACTGTGTTAAAAAAAATCTGTGAGCTTTTGTAATTTCAGAAATATCATTTGCAATAACATTCAGATACTGAAGCCATGACCATGAAAATTGGGCACTCCATGCACTGCCATCATTTGCATAGCAGTTGAACAGTTGAAGTGTTGGCTCAGGTAATTTTAGTAACAGGCACAATCGCTGTTATATGAAATACGTGTTTACAGCACCTTAAAGTTTTATAAAAGTATTGAGAACTTATTTTTTAGCTAGGGGTCATGACAATTTCTGTTGGCTTTCCATTTGCAATGGAACTGTGACAGTCGCCTTGCATGGTTGGGTTTATTAACCATTATGTATTTACTTACAGTGACGATACTTTTACATTATGTGTATTGAAGCTTCTCTATAATGCTCTTGTAATTTTAATGATAGACGGCTTTTAATTTCAGTTATGTCCATACAGTTTGGCCATAATCTGATTTGGCCTGTGAACAAGAAGTTCTTTGGTTTCTTTTGAATCGCTATGGGATCATTAACTTAAAGGAGTGTTGTACAAAAGTATTTCTATGAGCATAACAAAATTTGTGATAACAGCATTTAGTCTTTCTCACGACAGTTGTCTTCCTAATTTTGCATCGCAATATGTAGCATTAAAGAAAGTTCAGCCCTATACTTATATAGACTGTGATATTGACTGTATGCTGCGAAAAGAGTGGCTGTGAAAAGTAAACATCAAGTATTAATTCTTTTGGATGATAGTAATTTACATAATTGTGTTTATGTGTTACTGAATGCTGGAAATCAATGTGCATTTTAAAAAGGGCTGTCAAAAGTTGCTGTTAGTCAACTGGCCTAGCATTCATTTAATTCCTATTGTATAATGAGTGTAGTTTGGTGTGAAATGCGTTGACTAAAAAAATATATATATTTTTTGCACGATTCAAGGGTTTGCCACATTTAGGAAAAACACATCTAGAGACCGTAGTTGGTAATCCTTGCTTAAAATTTACGAAACTATTTTTACATTTACTGACGCCATTATTTCGAGACATAAAAAGCTTTTATCCCTCCAAATTCAGAAGACATCTTGCAGTTGTACCAGCCTGAATAACAAAGTGTTTCTCCTAGGTGGGGTTCACTCAGCATATTCTGTGTATACGTAATACTTGTTAAAGCCCTTGAAATTTTAAACACCTTTAAAACGCTTGAATTTTGTAGTCTTTCTGTTGTTTTGTTAGCACACTTTGACCAGCCTGACTTTGTACTCTTGTGCTGCAAGTTCACTTTCATTGTGTGATTATGGCACAGTGACTGGAATCAAGTTGCTCTTTCTCATTTTCAGGGGGACGAAGATTATGTGGATGTTAGTATTGCTTATACTTTTTAGTGTTTTTATTTTGCATGCTTCTTTTCAATGTTTCAGTTAGGCATAGTGGAAGCCTTTCTTATCTCTGTCTAAACAGCATTTTTTTTTCTTTCTGTCTTAGGATTCTGAAAAGTACTATGAGTTCGTTAGTATGTTAACAATTTTTTTGTTCTTACTTATTCTGTAAAGGTGGATGCCACATTCTTTTTTTTTTTTTTTGAAGATTTCTTGTGTGAATCAATTTGTCCATGTACTCTTGTTACTGTTAGTGCTGTAATTTTTTTCTGTGCATAATATTTACAATGTTCACAAGTTGAGTGGGTTCGTAGCTTCACTCCTGTCCTTGTCTCGTTCTGCTCTATTAACATATATGTTGGGGCTTGTTGAACTGGATTCAAGGAATGACGTTGGCTTATGCTTAAATAGTAAATTGCTCTTCAGATTCCTGGTGCCTGTGCGTTCGTTAGCAGCTCTTGGTTAGAAACAAAGAAAGAATTAAAAAAAAACATTCAAGGCTGGCAGTACTAGCATAAAATTCTAGCAACTGTGATGTAGAGTGGAAGTATCCGTTAAGTGCTTGTTGATCACTTAAATGTATATGTAAAGGAACACAGTGCAGCTCCAATTCAGCAATGTAATCAAGACCCACAAGCTGCTGTCAGCATTCTTGTACAAAAGGCGCATATATGTGTAAAAGTGCTATGTGGCATTTGATCAGCATTATTGACGCTCCACTCTGTGCCTCAGGTTCAGGGAAGAGGTTTCATAATTATTTGAGGCTCTCAATTCGATTACATGCAATAGACATGAAAATATAATACCAAAGGAAGTCTGCTGGTATAATTCTTATTTAGTGGCTCTCTCAACTGTCTCTTTGGTGTTTTTCATAACTCGTGAAGTTTGATGCACTTGTTTTTGTGTATCTACTGTCTGTATGTCCATCAATATAAGCATTTTCTTTGTGTCTGGTGGTGAATGTTCACCTTTGCTTATTTATTAACCTGGCATCTGGAAAGCTCAAAGCATTTTTAATACCTAATACATAGTCAAGTGATACTTATACTCTTGTGACTAAGAGCTCAGGAGAATCAAAATACCTTGTTATATGGGTCATTATGCTGTAAAGACTGTGCTTCATAGCTCTCGTACTATGGTTGAAATGTTACGAATTCATTATACACATCACATTATTGTAGAGGTGTTTAACTGTATTGTGAAAGAACAGTGTGGTAACTTTACAGCAGGTTCTCGCCTTGAATCTTTCTTTTAAATCATTAACCGTGTTATGTTTTAAAAGGTTTTTTTTTTTAACCAGTTTGTTGTCTTGCAATGACTGCCATTCCCGCATAAATTTCAAGATTGTTTCGTGCAAGTGTTTTCTCATAAGTGGTGCTTCCACTTGTGTCATGGTTATGACAGGGATTGTAGCCGTGTTGCAATAACTTTTCGTTGCTTGGTAGGTAGACATTTTCCATCATAGGTGAAATGTCTAAAATAAGTGCAGCCTTATATCAGGGTGTCTACCAACCTGGAAAACCTGGAAAACCTGGAAAAGTCAGGGAATTTGAACACGCCTGGAAAAGTCAGGGAAAAGTCAGGGAATTTCTGAAAAATCCGGCCAGGTCATGGAAACTGACTGTAGTCTTTCAGATCGTCACGAAAATATTCATTAGCATTAATCAAAGCTTTGAAAATCGCTCCTTAAACCACACAGAACAGCTAAGCAGAAGCATAGTTAAAAAAAGCAGTGCATAGCTGGCGCTTCTACTTTCCGAGTACAACGTTACTCACGTGCATAAAATTGTGCATGTTTGTCTTGGCCGCGATCTCGGCTCGGCTTGAGGGTTTTCTGGTTAGGCTGGAAGTGCCATCAGCAGAGGGCAAGGTGCACAGAATATGCGAGTCGTAATTATTTTTTTACTGAAATGTGTAGTTTACAGGTGCGTAAATTGGACTGGGATACAAAAACAGTAGTAGAGCAAATATGGTAATCCAGATCGGATCCAATCCAATCCAATCCACATATCAAGATGCCTGGGCTGCAGCCATATTGCCATTCTTCTTGTGATGCCGTGAGCATGCAGTGAGTTGCTATGCCTCTTGCGAAGAAGTGTTCGTTTAACCCTGATTGGGTGAACGCGGAAATATCCGAGCACGCCTCATGGATTAGAGCAGTGCCGAACGATACAAGTAAGGCTCACTGTGCAGCATGCCAGAAGACTTTCTCGCTTAGCAATATGGGCATCGCTGCTGTCTCCAGTCACGCTGTGAGCAAGAAACACCTAACTGCTGTGAGCATTGTGCAAAGTGCTTCCCAGACAAACATCCGCGCGTTTTTCGGTGCTGGACCCAACTTGCCGTGTTCCATGACTGCTACGACTACGAGTGAATGTGTATCGACTGTGCCAAGCACGAGTGCTGAAAGCGTGCCTGCTAAACCGGTGGCCGTCGCGCCTGACGGGAAGGCATCCTTAAATGGGTTTCTGGTCAAAAAATGTGTCACGAAAGCAGAAGTTGTTTGGTGTCTGAACACTATAGCGACCCATGGATCGTTTTGTTCAGCAGCAGCGTCAGCGGCGCTTTTTCCCATCATGTTCCCCACGTGCGACGTCGCGAAGAAGTTGCAACTTGGTAAAGACAAAGTTGGCTATACAATTTGTTACGGTATAGCCCCGTACTTCCGAAACAGGCTGCTATCAAAGCTGCATAGTGTCCCACACGTGGTCGTGGCTTTTGACGAGTCCCTGAACAAAATTGCTCAGAAAGAGCAAATGGACGTTTTGATCAGGTTTTGGGACCCAGCTGACGACGTTGTCAAAACTCGCTACCTGACGTCCTGTTTTTTAGGACACACTCGCGCAGAAGATTTAGCTGCCGCTTTCAAAAAGGCCACTGAGAACATTGAGCCGGCAAAAATACTTCAACTTTCAATGGATGGTCCAAACGTCAATTTGAAGTTGTTAAAGTCGTTGAAGCAAGAGTTTTCCGCGTCTGATGGAAATCAGAATATTGTGGACATTGGAAGCTGCGGACTGCACGTTGTGAGTGGTGCATTTAAAACAGGCCACAATGTGACAAAGTGGAACACAGTAGTGTTTCTTAGAAGCTTGTACAATTTGTTCAAAAACGTCCCTGCACGCCGAGCCGACTATGTCAATTTCACAGGGAGCATACTGTTTCCGCTAAAGTTTTGCTCAGTGCGCTGGCTGGAAAATGGCAAGGCTCTTGCTAGGGCACTGCAAGTCCTCCCAAATGTGGTCAAATATGTTTAGCATGTCAAGAAAGAAAAGAAACTTCCAGCGTGTGGCAGCTATGCTCATGTCGAGACGGCTGTGAAAGACGAGATGCTGCCAGTAAAGCTGGCCTTTATGCTTTCAGTTTCAGAAGAATTGGAGCCATTTTTGGCTAAGTTTCAGACAGAAAAGCCGATGCTACCTTTTCTTGCAACAGCACTGGACGGCCTGTTGCGGTCACTGCTGGGACGAATCGTGCTAAAGGAAAAGCTGGATGCTGCAGGCACATTTTCAAAACAGATAAAAATTGATCTGGAGAACCCAAACAACATCATTGGTATAGCTGCCTTTGACATAGGCCTTGCCGCCAAAAGTGAGTTGCGAAAGATCACTAAACCATCTCACACTGCGGTGGTAAGTGTCAAAAAAGAATGCATCTTATTTATTAAGGCCTGTTCAGCAAAGATAATCGAAAGATCACCTCTGAAATACAAGCTGACAAGGGGGGCCAGTTGCTTAAACCCAGCAGTTTCTGCCGCTTCTGTGGAAGCTGGCCAGAAGCAGCTAAACATTGCACTTGAAGTACTTAGAGAGCATGGGCGCCTTACAGGCCTACAAGGTGAGAGAGCAAGTAGATCATATGCACAAGTGTGCTCGAACAGCACTGCACAAGTGCGTTTGCGAAAATTTGATCGTGCAAGAGAGCGCTTGGAGAAGCTGTGGGTGGAACTCTGTGCAAGTTCTCATGAAGAGCTACTGCTGTTTGTGAAGATTGTGCTGTGCCTTTCACATGGAAATTCTTCTGTGGAGCGGGGATTTTCAGTGAACAAGGAATGTCTTGTGGAAAATATGAAGGAGGAGTCACTTGTAGCACAAAGGTTAGTGTACGATGAGGTGTCTGCAGCAGGTGGTGTTGCAGAAGTTGACGTAACAGACAAGATGATAGACATGGTTCGAAGTTCCAACATCAAATGGAAGGAAGACCTGGAGAGGAAAAAGAAGGAACGGTTGGATGTATTGGATGCTGAAAGGAAAAAGAAGAGGACTGCGGCTCTTGTGAAAGAGCTTGAATCAAAAAAGCAAAAACTGATAGAAGACGCACAGCTTCAGGTCTCCATGCTGCAGCAAGAGATTGAATCCTTGAAACAGTGAAGGCATTGCCGATGCAAGTAAACAAGCTTTTCTGTTTGTCGAGGGACAATTATTGTGTCTTTGAATATTTTATTTATTGTAAAAAATGCTTTCAGACAAGGGAATGCAATAAAGCAGCATGGTTTCCATTTTATATGAGCGCCTCATAATTTCTTTTTACCGCTCAGGAGTTTGTTTTCCAGTGCGCAGTTTCTTCCAAGCAGACGTACCGGTCATGGATTTTGCTTGAAATGGTCATGGAAAACCTGGAAAAGTCAGGGAATTTGGAAAAATGTAATTGGTAGACACCCTGTATATGTAATGTGGCAGATGAGTTTGTGGCATTTTTCACACTATCTTCTGTGACACAGTGGAGGATGGTAATTCTGAGGCACTCTTGAAGAGTTTCAAAGCCATTTCTTATTTTTTTGGCTGATTTTGTGCCATTTGTAATATTATATCTAAACATTTGTACTGAGCTTAGTGCATCTGTATAAATGTTTCTCTTGATCTTCTTGATACAGATAACTTGGTAAGCTAAAAAAGTTTGCAGTTACTAGTACCTTAGTAAATTTATTTGCACATTGTGCTATTTGAGGCTGTCAGGTTCAGCTCCCATTGCTCCTGAAACCTGCTCACAGTTGTTTATGAATATTTGAACTGAAAAAATTTCAATTTTCGGAACAGATCATAGTTGATATTTTAGATTAGATCTTCTGAAAGCAGAAAGAGAAAGTAAAAATGTTTTCAATTGGTTTGAAGGGCTTCCTAGCCTGTGACGTGATTGTTTGCGGGTGTGAAGAGCGATGATTAGATGCCTTGCCCCGGGCATGCAGCACAGGCTGGTGTTTACCGTACTTACTTGCATAATTTGATCACCCCTAATATTTTTTCAGAAAAAAAAATTTACTTGCATATTTTGCGCTGTCGATCCTGTCCGAGCCAGCTCGCCGGCACGCGCAGTCATACGGGCTGTGAGTGCAAAGTCCCTACTTTAGATAACTTCCCCTGAACTAGGGTCCCTAGAATACCACACCCATATCTGTTGACGGGTCGCCAGAACTGTTCAGGGCCTCGGGTGTTTGCCTCCCACCATCTCCCATCTTTATCGCCATGAGAATGCACGCTTGCATCACTGCATGGAGTACTTTCTGCATTGAAGGTGTGCGAGGGCCTGTCGTCCTTTTGCACCAACAGTTCCCCTCTTTCTCTGCATCCACGCTACAATGCACGTTTGGTTGATTTCAGAAGTTATGTTTTGCAGTTCGTGTCCGTAGCATTTTTATATTGTTCCTTGCCTTGCAATGGGATGCATTAATTATGGATAAGACAAAATTCAGGCTCGCTGTTATAAAAAGTTTGCCAAAGAAAACGGTAACCATGTCGCCGTCAAGCACTTCAACCTGAAGTTCTTTAATGTGTGATAATCGGCGTGATCAACACGGGAGAAAGCAGAAGAGTGCACGATTGCTTATACGAATTTCCTGCTCTTGAATAAGGCCTTCTCAATTACGTGCGAACGCTTAGGTTTTCCGGTATCGCCGTGTCGTGGGACTTAGTTTCTCCCAGCATTGTGGAGAAGAGCTTCAAAAATGTGGCGCATTCGAACGTGCTCGACGGAACCGAGGGCGATGTGCTTTGGAACGGCGATGACAGTGGCCGTGACGTTGGTTCCCAATTGGAGCTCTTGAACGGTGATCCTGACTAGGCTGCGCCTGACCGTATCTGACTGATTAAAGTACATGCCACTTCTGTTAAGTAAGCAACAAATGCACTTCATTTGTGCGCCAATCTTTTTTCTCTTTTGTAATGTATATACTGTGTGCATTAGGGCCGCTGCACATTATAACGGATGCATTCGCGAAATCCCCGTGTAATTTGTGCACCCCCTTCTCAGAACCCCAAAATTGCAAAAAAAAAAGTGCACAAAATATGTGAGTAAATACGGTAATTGTTTTTTTTGTTTGTGTATTGCAATTAGATTTACACTCTGTGTACATTACTGAATATCTTTCTCCCTTTTGGCGTGCCTGTTGCAACATTACATATAATTGGTAAAAGCAAATAACAAGACACATTGGTAATATTAACACATTTTATACTGGTGCATCACGCATAATGGGTAATATCAAGGACTGCTAATCAGTAAATGTGTGAATTTACTGCTAATCAGTAAATTCTAGTGATCTGGAACTACCGGTTTCATGTTATGTTTCTGTATGTGCATGCTGTAGTGCAGGTATAGGAAACTTGATGGGATACTTACTGAAGGAATTTGGACACTGTTAGCCTGAAATATGAGAGAAAAAAATGTGCCTTTTCCCAGTTATGATTAGCCAAGTGTTAAGTTCTTCGTGTGCTACCAACTGCATGTATCTGTTAAACTAAACTGGCACCACAAGTAATTTTATGTGTTGTGTAATTGAACTTTTCTGCACAACATTTTTAGGATGACGACGAAGATGAATCGGCCGTAAGTTTGATTTTCCTTCTGAAATTCAAGCAACTCTTGCTTCCAACTGCGTGCGATTAATATGGTAGAAGGGGATTTCTGTTGGCAGGTTCCTCGCATACCGGGGCCTAAAGACGATCCGCCGGATGATTTATTTGACGACGAACCAGTAGCAGGTACTGTGCACACAGATAAGGAACAATCCGGTGAACAAGCAAAAGAGCCGTTTGATGAATATGCCGATCAGAATGGTGAGAATCACGGTGACGATCATACTGGCAAGGGTGCATCTGAGCAGAGTAAAGATGCTGCTGATCATGTGGAACCTGGAAAGGTGAGGCACAGCTCTTGTTGATGAAATGCACTCGGGAGCAGTATGAGACGGAATGTGCGAGCATTTGGCAAACAGCTTCAAACCTGAAGTGGGACTACTTGCCACAGCAGCTCTCCCGAATAAGGTGGAAAGGTTGCTGTGGTCATTTTAAATGTCTGCACGCCTGCCTCACAATTACCAATAAAAAAGGGAGGCTTATTGCATATTGCAGGCCGCTCACGATTATGAGCTGGATATGGGCAAGATATTTCCTGCATTGTTTTAAACAGACATCAAGTGGGATTGTCAACAGTTCGCTGAAAAGCAGTACCTTTCCCATAAGTTCTGTCATCATCTGAGTTTTGGTTGAATGGGGTTTTGAGGCTGTTCACCGTGCGCTCGTGTGATCCCTGTCATAGCGCCCATGATAGCACATGTTGGCCTTAGAGTTTACATGAGCTTTGGTTGGAATTCAGTCAGGTGAAAAGCCCGCATACCAGGTTTGATAAAAAGTTGAGGCCAGTTGTAGGGTGTTACTTTCTTATATTAACACTTTACTACTACAAAAATAGTTGTGGTTTATAACCTCTGTATTCAGTTACCCTGACATTAGCTTGGTCTTTTATGTGTGGGTACATTTCGTTAAACATTTGTGTACATTTATGGATTTGTTTCTAGTGCAAGGCAGTACACTGGATGTTTTTCTTACGATTATTCTTTCTATTTTTTGCACCTAATATATATCTTTCTATGTGTTCTGTTAGTACAGTCAATTGTCTTTTGTTTGTAACAATCTTAAGCCACTAAATTTGCTGTGCTAAATTTTAGCTCCAATGCATATCTTTAACCTAATTTTACTGTAGAGCTGGTTTGTTAAATTTTGTTAGCACCTTTGTGGTCACCAAAAATGTGTTTGAAGCTGTGTTCAAGGTTGTGAATGTTTGATGTACTCAAGCCTCAATATAACGTACCCAGATAGAACTGAAATAATAGTTATAGCGAAGTAAATGAAAAATAGTGTTGGAAGCATACCCTTATAACTAATTTTTGTATATGACTTACTTTTGCATACAATGCAGCTTTGTTATAACGAGGTTTGATATGCTTTCCTGTTATTGTAAGAGCAACCCAAAAGTTGAAACTATAGATGGATGTAAGGGGAAGAGACGGTGATCCTAATTTTGATTCAATCGTTTGACGAAGCATCGTGTGGTTTGGAAGAAATGTGAAATACAAACAAAATAAAATATCACCGACCAAACTGAAAAGGTTTAAAACATTCAAAATGGCATTATAAACCTTTTCATTTTGGTTGGGGCTATTTCATCTCATCTGTATTTGATCTTAATTTGAGCAAATTCATATGTCCATGTTATAAGCAATGTGATTATGTTACATTTAAAGTGCAAAACCATACATGTGGTACTAATAATGAAACTAGGGCAAGTTTTCAGTGTACTGCATCATTTTCCTTTTGAAGTATGTTTATAATTGGATGGAATGAGGATTATTAGATCATGCATTTCTGTATAGATCATTACCTTAAGTGATATGACCACTAAGTTGACGATTTCTGCTGCTCAAGTTTCACAGCTACAATTGACATAAATATTTATGACAACTATCAATAAAATTTTACTTAATTTATTGAAAAAAAGAATTCTAGGGCATTGTATATAAGTGCATTATTAAAGTACACAAGGGATAGGGAAAAGTAATGTGCACTGTATGTGATGCACTTTTTTGTGCCTTGTCTAATACTTTGAACACTCACTAATTTTCCTATTTGGCTCACTGAATGCATCCTTTTCAATAATCTGCAACTACTCTTCCTTGTGCTGCACATTTACCCGAATAATGGTGGTGTCTGTTGTCCTTGAAGCGGAGACGAAGCTCGTGGTTGCACATGCTGGGGCTTGTTTATTATGTGTGTTTATTTCTGAAAGAGCCGACTCAACATTTCTCACTATGCACAATCAAACTGCGCTTGATTGTGCAGTTTCCACTGGTTGACTAGCGACCATTACTTGGGCCAACTGCATTGCAGGATAGCTACCTTTGCAATGATAAAAGGTCTGTTGCCTTTTTGTTTTAATCCCCTGTTACCAATATTTGGATGTGTAGACTTGTTATCTTCTCACAATGCAGTGCTGGCCCGGTGTCGTGTTTCCACAATTCAGAAATTCCTTAACCATAACAGAAAATTTTGAATTCTTGCATGTTAAAAGGGGTGCATGGTACAGAATTTCTAGCAAAAAGTTGTTTCGAGGACTGGTTGATCAATTCTATCACTAGTTATGTCATGTCCTCAAACTATAAATAATTAACATGCTTATTTATAAAGTTTCTATAGTCATACCAAAAATTATTAAGCAAATGCATATGTTCAGAGTTTCCACAAAGCTCGGTCATCAAAAATGATGTAGTGAGAAGTATAAATGGCTACTTGTGCTAGTAATGAAACTCCTGTATACTACACATTTGCGAGGTTTGTGTGTGACCTGCCTAAGTGTTGTAGGCACATTTTGTTATAACTTAATACTTTCGCTGATTGGGCTACTTGAAAGGTAAATAATTTCTATAGCAAAGACTATCATTGTGGCTGAAAAAAAAATTGCAATGCTTATATTTATTTTGTCGTCTATAATTACTGCAGCTGCCTTTTCGCTGTACTTGTATTATGGTTGTTGTTCTTCATGAAGCTGCCAAAAGCAACACGCCTTCATTCACTCCGTCAAAGTTCGAAATCATCTGGGAAAAAGGTCACCAGAGCAAGAGTTTCAACAATCAGCATTACATGTTACTGCGACATCTTGATGTTTTTTGTTCGTCATGTTTTTCATTATTGTGTTGTTTCAAAAGGCTCGTCGTTTTGATAATGAGTGCATACTTCGCAGAGGTGCCTTGGAACGATTTTCTCAGTGTTGCCACAACTTGCTTTGTCTTCCTAATCTTCAAGAGCCTGGCCTGAGCGAGTTGCTCATGGCTCGGCCAGATTTAGTTTTGTGCCATTATAAAAATGGTGGTCTCAAATGACTGCGATACTTGCATTTTGGAAGCTTGTAACTACTGCCAAGCAAGGCAGGGCTTCTGTACAATTGTTAAAGGGGCCCTGAAACACTTCTGATAACCATGGAATGAATTTACTGGAAGAGCTCATTGCCTCAGAAATGTGTGCCATGTTCAAATCAGCCATAGGTGATAGATGGGCTTTCTACACGCGATTTCTGAGCGACTTCCATCATTTGTCGAGAGAAAAAAAAAAGGCAATTTTCAGCTCAACTTTGATAATTTATTGTGAATTCGAGGCCGCGTGCTACGCTACTAATATTTGGCTCTCGTGTTGTCGGGAGCCTCTACTACGGATCGGCCTGCATTTTCTGATCATGCTCAAAAAGTGTTGCAGGGCCCTTTAAAACCTTAAGTTACAAAGCTAGCCTTCACTTAGTTATGTGGAAGCGTGCTTGTTTGAGCGTACATTGATGAGTAAGTTCTGTGGAAGTAAACATGATGGAAGCTTGTGACCATGACCCATCAGCTTTACTTTACCATTCTGCAGTTCAAAGCATTAACTTCTTCCTATTACTATAAGCTCTTTGTATACTCAAGATAGTGAGAATTCGCTCAAATTTCATGAAATAACACTTGCGCTCAGTAGATTTCTTTAGCATTATGATTTCACAGATAAATCAGCAACACTCGCATGCTTTCTTTGGCACTACCATTGACTAGGATCTTCGTTTCTTAGTAAATTTAGCCAGCACATCGCTTGTATGCTTCTTGCCAGGGAAGTAATTCTCACTGACAATCTGGGTGTTACCAGATGCTTAAAGCCGTTGGTTGTGCAGGTGGTCTGTCAGTTTGCAGCACAATTTTCCAAACTGAGCTTGAACTGCTGCATGGCTGTTGTGCTCCTATCTAGCTGTATTGGCATTCTTTCCGGGCTTGGTTGAGCTGTTAATAACTTCAATGTTTGAATATCGTAGGCTGAGAAGGAGGACAGCCCCAAAGTTGATGATGACATGGACGGTGCCTGGGAGGAGACATTCAAGGGACATACAGATTCTAAAAAGCACGGTATGAGTCTTGATATTAGAGCTCGGCTTTTCTCTTCATAAAACGCTCAGACAACTCTGAGAGTGCAGTTTCTTTATTAGCTGTGCTTATTAGCTGTGCTTAATAGATAGGCACAGCTAATAACGAAGTACAGAATGGGAACAGTTAGGGATAAGAGTTACTGGAGAGTACCTTAGTAACCTGCGCTTCGCCGATGACATTGCATTGCTGAGTAATTCGGGGGACGAATTGCATCTCATGATTACGGAGTTAGACAAGGAGAGCAGAAAGGTGGGTCTTAAAATTATTCTGCAGAAAACGAAAGTAATGTACAGCAACCTCGGAAAAGAGCAGCACTTCGAGATAGGTAATAGTGCACTTCAAGTTGTAAAAGACTGTCTACTTAGGGCAGGTAATAACCGCGGAGCCGAACCATGAGATCGAAGTAACTAGAAGAATAAGAATGGGGTGGAGCACATTTGGCAAGCACTCAAATTATGACAGGTAGATTGCCACTATCCCTCAAGAGGAAGGTATATAACAGCTGTATCTTGCCGGTACTTAGCTATGGAGCAGAAACCTGGAGACTTACAAAGAGGGTTCAGCTTAAATTGAGGACGACGCAGCGAGCAATGGAAAGAAAAATGGTAGGTGTAACCTTAAGGGACAAGAAGAGAGCAAAGTGGATTAGGGAACAGACGGGGGTTAAGGATATCATAGTTGAAATAAAGAAGAGGAAATGCACATGGGCCGGGCATGTAGTGCGTAGACAGGCTAACCGCTGGTCATTAAGGGTAACTAACTGGATTCCCAGAGAAGGGAAGTGGGTTAGGGGGAGACAGAAGGTTAGGTGGGCAGATGAGATTAAGAAGTTTGCGGGTATAAATTGGCAGCAGCAAGCACAGGACCGGGTTAACTGGCGGAACATGGGAGAAGCCTTTGTCCTGAAGTGGACGTAGTCAGGCTGATGATGATGATGATGATGGTGATGCCTTTTTTAACATCATAATAAGTGACCATGTAGGCTGCATTCTAAGGATAGTACCATAAACACCAGAGTATAGGTTGTACCAGAATTATACAGGCCAACAACCCCACTTCCCCTCTTCCACAATACACTTTGTACTGAAACCATAGTTTTTCCACCAATGACCAACATATAGACAGGAGTTAGTACATACTGACCTTTCATCATGTTTTTCTGAAAAAGTGCAAACCTGTTATTTGGTTTTCCCAGTAATGTGTGTGAATTTGTGTAGACATTTTTATTCATCAGAGCGTTGACCTTGGCCACATTGTTACTAAATAAATTCCCAATGTTCTGATGTGTGGTTAATTGAAGTGTACCACATGGAATTAATATTCTATGTTAGGTTTTATTGGATTTCCTCTCGTATGCAGAGCCTGTGTACACCTATTGTCAGATGTTATTATATGGTTCATATGTTTTAGTACTTTGCCTGTTCTCCTATTGCACAGTTCAGCAATGTAGTATTACACAGCAGATAAAATGTACTTCTACAGCTACGGACACTTGTACTCTTCGTGACAGGTCCCATGTCTGTCGGTCTCGACTTCACGTTCGAGGGCTTTGACCACGTCTATGGGCTCCCCGAGCATGCTGACTCCTTTGCCCTTCGTCCCACAGTGTAAGTCCTTTTTTGTAGGTTTGCAGCATTTGCTTGCTGGTTTACGTACTTTCAGATGTTAGTCATATAGTTGTGATAGAGCTTTGGTCTTCCATACTTTCCGTGAAACAGCACTGAAAACACTAAATCAGTGAGTGTATTACTGGACTAGAGGTCATGCGAAATAATAGTTGTATTGCACCCAAATTCTGTGCAGTCGTGTAGAGAGCTAAGAACTGAATTGCCACAGCTTGAATTAGCAGCTTATGTGTGGGTGTGCTGATCAGTTGAAACCATGCAGTGGCTCGTCGGACCCTGTACGGATGTACAACCTGGATGTCTTTGAGTATGAAGTGGACAACGTCATGGCTCTCTACGGCTGCGTGCCCCTAATGCTGGCTCACAGGTATGCATTTCTCTTGTTTGCTCATTGCTGTTTTTCTGCCACTCTGAAATGGCCTTACTTGAAGCCACGACCTTTGCCGTGTCAATTATTTCATCCTTAAGCCAGTGCTCGTGTATTTGCCTATCCATCTGCAACTACTATAGCAATTGCCAAAGTCAGCTTCGCCGCAATGCAAAAGTGCTAGGCAGTCAAGCGTACCGAGGCGCTGAAGAGGTCATGTCACTGGACATATTTTGTGTTTCTTTGTTGTATACTCGAACATAAATGTGTAAAAGAAAATTACTGATTCATTACCCAATTTTTTGGCAATATTGCACTCTAGTGTTTTGGAAGAGCAAATGTTTAATGTCAGGGCCTCAGAAAGTTTTCCTTTTGCACAGCAAATTTGAAGCCTTGGAGCTGCACAGTGGTCCAAGGGTGGTCAAGAAATAGGGGGTGGTCAGCTGGTGGGACGGGTATCAGAAGCACTTTTGCTCTTTGTGGGGAAAACTCTAGCTGTATATCTTGACTAAATTTCAATGCACTAGCATTAAGGAGCTCATAATAAGTGTCTTTAGTTGTGAGCAGAAAGGGGCATTGTCCGGCTAGCAATTAAGGAGGCGATGTGAACAATGTCCGATTACGTTATCGCGGTGCGCTCTTGGAGGGGAAGCCCAAGCATCCTCCAAGATTTCCATTCTTATAGGGACTCCAAAAAAAAAATCATTGTTTCTCGTATCAGTAAAATAAAAATCTCAATACCAAAAGCATCACTCTCGCTGCGAGAGGGTGCCTGGTATGCAAGGAAACACGCCAGAAGATACTACACACAAGAAGTTTTCACGGCAACTCAACATGACATTGTAGATTTTTATAGTGTCTTCTAGGGCCTATGTAATCGTTCATCAGTAAAAAATTGTTTATAGTGGGCTCTGAGGAACTCAAAGTTGTAACATAGCAAGTTCCAAAATATATTGTTGAAGCAATGTGGCCAAAGTACGCAGAAAGACTTACAAGTTCGTAATGTTACTTTGGCATTCACGTGGTGAAAATTCCGCTTGAAATTAAATGAGACTTTGTGCTTTATTTTCTCTTGTGATAAGAATTTAATTATTCTATAATGGTAAAGCTAATGACAATAGAGTTCTGATAGAATAATTTTGGTCTAAATGGAAATAATGTTCTTCGACAAGCTCGGAAACTGATGAGTGTCTGGGGCTCTTGCAGCGAAACGAGGACTGTGGGAGTGCTGTGGTTGAATGCAGCGGAGACATGGGTGGACATTGAGCCAAACTCCAAGCAGGTCAGTAAGCCTCCAATCACTCCAATTTACATGTTAGAATTAGACATTATTAATATTCCCGAAATCTACAGATCTTTTGTTGGAACTGGCAGAAATTGAATCAAATAGGATCCAGAATAAAATCTAGCCTGATGTGCAAGGAGCTAAATTTCAGACGTGTATTGTTTTACGCCCATGTGGGTAGGGTTTTGAAATGGACCACTGTTGTCTCTTTCAGGGTGATGACAATGGGACGGTAAAAACACCCAGCTGTGTCTCTGCCTCTCGTTATTTTTTTTATTATTGTAAAACTGCACCAGTGCCTCTACGATTTAGTTTCGTGCATAAGTTTCTTCCCCTTCACACCATGCCGCTTACGCCCTTTCGAACAGTAGGCCTGTGTGAAAATGTCAGCACTCCAATATTTGTATGAATGTTACTTTTTTCGAATGCCCTTTGACACAAATCGAGATTTTTAAAGTTTCAAAGTATACGAAACGTACTAACAGACATACTTGATGGCACATAGCCAGCTTGAAAAAATGACTTCCACTGAAATAAGCAGCCTGCTCTGGCATGAAAAAACATATTCAGGGAAAATTCACACTGTTGCAAAGCCACGGTTCATTAATGTTCGTATACCTGCTCTCCAGTTTTTTCTTTTTTAAAATAATGGTGCGTTATGTAAGCTTATATAGATGGCAGACTTCAAAACATGAGATGTTTTGCCGGTTATATTTTGTGCACTATTGCTACTCGAATTCGCTTCAATATAGATCAATACTGATTACCACGCGTTTCGACTTCATTTCAAACCAAGAAAGTGATATTCACAAAAGTTTATGCAGCAGGAACCAATACATGTCTTTTAACTGCTCTCTTGACAAATGACACCTTTAACGGAACAAATTTTACATCTAAAAGATGTACAAGTTTTTTAAATAGTAGCTGCACCCTCAGGAGGGTAGCTGACACAATGTACAGTGCACCATGCATTCTAGTAGTCCCATTAGCAGTTGGCACTGCTAGCTGATCAGTTGGCAAATTCAAGAACAAAAATTTTTTTGAAGAATGCATTTGTTCACAACAGAGGGTACACAAGGACTTCATTTCTCAATTTCAAAACTCACAGGTTAGTTTCTGACATTCTCTTAATTTCTTAATTTCAATTACTGTGCAGTGTGTATGGCATGAAAGTTTTACTTTAGTTTCGCACTTTCAGAGGTGTTGTTTTTTTTTTATTGAACATATTGAACTGCTTTTCAAAGATATAAAGCTATGCACATACATAATGTGTGACCTTAATTAATACCCTGGATGCACTGTTTCAGGGCATATTTTCACGTCTAATGTTCACATTGTGATTTACATTTGTGTGCTTGTAGTCTGAGCACCACTTGCAGTGACATGCATTTGTTTAGCTGCATTTTGGCATGTTGAAACAGAATGCAACACCAAATTGTGCTTTTGCATTGAGGCCAGAAACGCATTGCACTCGATTGTTGACTGTGTATTTATATATGTGTACTTCAATCAGTAGATGGTCAATAATACCCCTGTCACACGGGCACTTAAATGTCTTTTAAGTAAGCGGTCTTTTTGCGAAAAGTAGTTCCTGACAGCAGACACACGGCACAGAGCGAACTCCTTTTCAGAAGCGGTCTTTTTCGTAAGCGGCGTTCGTCAATCTCTTTTACGGCTCCGAATGAGTAGCCTCGAAACCAGTGGGCGCCAGCAATTTTCGAGGGGTGGGAAAAAAAGAGCGAATGCTTATTTTTCTGTCACCAAAACTCTTTGTAAAAACAAATTTCATATCCTGCAGACGGTGTAATGAACTCTTTTAATCGTTATTTCCTTTTCTACTCTCGTAAGCAGCTACAACGTGTCGGCAATATCACGTGGTGACGCTCGGTCTCGCGCCGCGCCATTTTGCACAAGCGAGGAAAGCGTGGCAGTTGTGTGTTTGCCCGTCATTCATGTGGTCCGAGTCCGAGCGTCTATGGCCAACTCCGCAGATCAAGCAGCCGGCGCCCCACGGAAAAGGCAGCGTCTGCAATGGTCGGAAGCAGACACGTTATCCTCTCCTTGGCGGCTTTTGCAGAGTCTGCCTCGCTTTCCAGAGCGAGAAAGCAGGCCGTGAGGCTTGCGATCCTCGCTTTTTCTCCCGTACGGTCGCCCATAACGTGTTGAGAGCAGTCGAGATCAGCGAAAAACAAATACGGTAAATAAAATCCCAGTGGTGCCAGACGGACTTGTACACGTCGCTAGTTATGGGAATGGTTCCTAACTAGTGCAACAAACTTTCACATTGGTGTTTCTTCATCTCTTATTCTTAAATTTATTTGAAGAAACGAGCAGTGCAACAAGTCTTTAATTTGTACATCGTGATACATCGTTTAATTTTCATTGCTTCTCTTTTAACTGCTAGCGCCACGCTTTCGCTAGCGTCTTCGAACGAAAACACTAAAAGGAGATCGTTGCTGCCGTGTGTCTGCGCCGCAAACACCTCTTTGTTAAGTCTTTCAACTTCGTAAAAGACCGCTTACTTAAAAGACTTTTTGCGCGCCCGTGTGACACAGGTATAAGGATAGTTATATAGTGAGTAGAGAATATGCTTTATTAAAGGTATTTCTCATGCAGGTTTGCAGGAACTTTGAATTTTCATTGCCCGATCTGGTGCTTGACAAAATTTAGGGGAACTAATAAATTTCCACACATCTCGTGTAGTGGTTGAATTTATATAGAAAGAACTTACACTAAACAGACCCTCGTTCTCATTGGAATGATGAACGTAAGTTTAGCCTCTTTCTAGGGTTAAGGATTGTTTCTCAGACAGTAATTGACCAAACTTAGGCTTTGATATATTTTTGGAGTACTTTGTTCCTATAGTATGCTTCATTGTTGATTGGTACTGCAAATGAATATATATGTACATTTTATGCCGGTCATCATTCATATTTTTATACTGATTGTCAAGAGTATTTGTTGAGAGGCTTGTACTGAGGACTGTGCAAACGCGTCTAATATTGTACATTATCCTTAAATTCACTGCCCTGATTTTATCATGTTTTATCTAACTACATTTGCACTGAAAATACATTGGAGATAAAACTTTCAGTGCATTGACTTTGCTTTAAAATGTCATTTTTCAAGATTTTAGCAAATCCGAAAGACTCAACAAGTGATTCGTCCCAGAAACTTATGACTTTGCACAGCATTAGACTTTTGATGGTGCTGTGTGAACCCTCATTTTGTGATCTTTGGCCCCTTGAAGGCACACGAAAGCTAGCACGTGGCTGGTAACTCAACAGGCAATCTCTCGAATGAAATGTTAGCTGTGGTATCGTGCAAGAATGTTGCATGTGGTTGCCTGTGCACCCTGCTGGTTTGCATTGACACCGGAATGAAAGTTGTGCCACTCGCATCTTTACGCACATCATTAAGGAATTAAAAATGCACCAAAGAAATGACAAACCATAAGTGCAGGCATTTTTTTCATTTCTTCTTAGGTGTTTCTATTTCATTTGTGCTATGTGTTAAGATGCTGATGTAACAATTCACTTTTGTAGAGGCTGTGCTGCCACTTTCTGCAATTGGAATGCTTTTCGAAAACTCCAGGGTGTGCTGTCATCAGTCGTGGACTTCGTGAAGCGCAGCCCGCCCCCCAATCACCGGGAGACTCACTGGTTCTCGGAGAATGGCCTCATCGATACGTTCTTCTTGCTGGGCCCAGGGCCTAAGGATGTCATGCGTCAGTACAAGTCCCTGACTGGATCAACACCACTGCCACCGGTGAGGTTTTAACTGGCTTATTTTGGTTATTTGATAATCTTGTTAGCACCGGCTTTTAATTAAAGTGAAGTTTTCTTTGCAACCACTCGTATTCTTGACTGCTGCTGCTGTGTTTTTGCAATGTACGTCACGTGAAGAATGATAGACAACTCTGTATATTGAGGTTAGATGGTTTAGCATTTATTTTGAACCTTTTTTTTTTTTGAATACTTTTGGTATTAGTTTCGCTTTATTATTCTGAAAGACTTGCGCCAACTTAATGCACCAAAAATATAACCTTTTTAACACTGCTTGTAACTTTTGTGGAACCGTGAATTCCCTTGGCTTTTTGAAACATTTTTGCATGTTCACTTTAGGCTTCTGCTTGCTGACTTTTGTTTAGTACTATATCCAGTCTCTATTTAAACCGTTTTGGCCACTTCTGGTTTCCGCTTCCAGTTTGATCTTATGCTTCTTCCAGACTATGCTTCCCTTAAATTTATACACGACATTCCATACAGTCTGTTGTAAATTTTTTTGTTCATATTTCTGCAACTTTTTATCGTTGGTCGACAAAATGAACAGAGGCCACTGAAATTATGAAATAAAATATAGCTTCAGCTTAAGGCATTCCTTGACTAGGAACAGCCAGAAATCTCTCAGCTGTCATGTCCATTATACTCACAGGTGACATTTGTAAATGTCAGTGAACTGTTACAAGCAGACTAGCAGTAATGTTCTATTATGTAAAGGGAACAAATACTGATCTGAGATGCTAGCATATTGTGTCTATGTGTTCACTTATTATGCTGCTCGATCTTATACTTAGTTGGGGCTCTTCATTCTTTGAATTCTTTCTTCTATCTGTGAAAGGAGAAACATTCATTGTAGAATAACTTAACACCTTAACAAAATTAGGATATACACAGAAAAGAAATGGACAGAGTTATATTTAACTTTATTCTGCTGTCAATTATTCTAGAATGAAAATCCAATAACTAGCCTAACCCGCAATTAAACTTCAGAAAGAGCATTGTAGTGCTCTGCGGTTAGTGCGCATTTGATACCCATTCCCGGCAATACATATTAATGAGGACACCGCACCCCGATCGTCGGAGCTCACCTCAACCACCACCGCAACTGCTCCTATTCGTCCGACGAAGCAAAACTGTCTTCTGAAGACGAGAGTTTGTCGCTGGCCGCTTCCCACAGTGCGTCGTCTTCAGTGTCATCCAGCGAGTTGCTGATGCAACATTTCTTGAAAGCATTTTTCATTATGGAATCCGGTAAGGAGCGCCAGGCGGGGAAAGCACCCAGCCACAAACAGTCGCAAGCGGGGGCCTCTGTAGGCGGCCCGTCGGTGTCTTGGGGTTGTCGCCGGACATCCACTCTTGGTATTCCAGCCGCACTCGGTCCTTGAACGGCTTGTTTAGCACAACGTCGAGCGGCTGGAGGGCGGACGTCATACCACCTGGTATCACGGTGAGGTCCGTTTTCCCGTCGCCGAGTGCGCGTTTCATTGCGTCGGTCAAGTGGCCACGAAACGCATCCAACACCAGCATGCTGCGAAGACGCAGCAGTGCACCTGGCCGACGGTTCCACATTACTCGTATCCATTCGAACATCATGACCTCGTCTATGTATCCCTTTTTGTTGACACGAACGACAACACCGGGCGGGAACACTTCCTTCGGCATTGTTTTGCGTTTGAAAATGACGAAGGGCGGAAGCTTTCTACCATCTGCCGTGCATGCCAGCATGACGGTGAAGCGCGAGTGCTCATTGTCAGTGGACAACAGCTTCACATCCTTGGCGCCGCACTGCGTGATTGTGGTCGACGAAGGCATGTCAAACCACAAGGGGGTCTCATCGGCGTTACCAATCTGCCCCATCATGTAGTCGTTCTGCTCCCGAAGCCGGTTCACAAAGCGCTGAAAGTTTATGAGCTTGTCCTCGAACTTTTCCGGCAACTTTTGACAGATGGATGTGCGCCGCCGGAGAGAAAATCCTTTGCGTTGCATAAATCGACGCACCCAAGGGTTCGGTGCACGAAACTCTTTTCTCGTGAGCCCAGCTTCTCGAGCGAGTTCCAAGGCTTTCTTGCAAATGGTATCCACGGTCACTGGCAACGAGCGCGCACGAACTTCCCGCACAAAGTCCGCTAGCTTATCCACCAGCTGCGGATGAAAGGCACTTCGTCCACGAAACGACATTTTTTGTGGATTGCACCTCTGCAGCTTCCCTTTCTGCGCCCTCCAATAGCACACGCTTTTTTCGGATACACCAAAGCCGCGCTGAGCAGCCATATTCCCGTTCGCTTCTGCGAACTCAACAACACCTAGTTTAAACGCAGCTGAGTACTGCCTCCTCGCACCGCTAGACATATTCAGCGAACGAAAAAAATAAGGCCACTAAAAATGCAGCGCAATGTCAAGCGGAGCGAAAACTCGGAACAGATCGGAAGCAAATCACGAACACAAAGAAAACAGACGGAGGAAAAAAAAAAACAGACTGCGATTGGATTTGAATGCGGATATGGCCGCGTCCGGCTTCACAAGCACATGCAAGTTACATGTTGCCAGACAGCGTCGCACTTTCGGCTAGACATTGCTATATATGACGAGATGCGACTTTAGCTTATTTATTTTATTGAAAATATCTCGACTTATATTCCGGTTTATACAGTATATTATACGTATATGCATTGAGACTTGCTTAAGCACACCAAGTCTGTACGGATGGTTTTGAGTGTTTTTTCGTCGGTAAACTTTTGCGTCACGTTGGTTGTTTTGCGTGCAGATGTTCTCAGTGGCGTACCACCAGAGCCGATGGAACTACAATGACCAAGACGATGTCCGCAGCGTGGATGCTGGTTTTGACGAGCACAACATTCCCTACGACGCACTGTGGCTGGACATTGAACACACTGATGGCAAGAAGTATTTCACATGGGATCCATTCAAGGTAAAAAAGTGATTCAGCATGCATACACATGATTGGACAGTGCTCTTAGGCTGAAACACAATTTAGTGCTAACTAACGGGCTTATTTTTGTTTTCACTGTCTTCTGTACACATTATATCGGTCAGTGCGATTTTGACTCTATCAGTGACACTACAGCCAACAGTTTCTTTAGCAGCCAAATTTGTAAAAAGACAATGTGGTTATCTTAAGAATTTTTGTTGTACCAGTCGACAGGCTAAAAATTTGTTGTCTCATTTTGGCCCTTGAGGACTGCACATACATATGCTTGGACGACATGCATACACACGTAAGGGAATCGTAGGTTTGCCACTGTGAAATCCAATGGTCCTGTTGACACCACTTTTATGCTGAGTAAGCTCAGTGGATATAAATGTGATTTATCTAAAGCTTAAACCTTACCTGGACTTCAGGGCTACAACATCTCTTATTTCTTCTGTGTTTCTTAGGCGTCATTTATATGTACAAGTGCCCATTAAAGTTTGGCACCTATGCTCTGTGGTGTCACATATAAAATTGACTGTGGTGACTGAGACATGGGACAGTGTACAGTGCGGGTATAAAAGTCTATGGACCTCATCGATTGATTGATTGATGATTGATTGATTGATTGATTGAACTCTTCAGTTCTCCCAGCCGGAGCAGATGATCCGCAATCTCACGGCAAAGGGCCGCCGCATGATCACCATAATCGACCCGCACATCAAGCGCGAGTCTGGCTACCACATCCACTCAGGAGGCCACTGACCGGGGCTACTACGTCAAGAACAAGGATGGCGGCGACTTTGAGGGCTGGTGCTGGCCAGGCTCTTCGTCTTACCTCGACTTTCTCAACCCTGAGGTTAGCTGCGCTGCTTGTGTACTGTCTGCTTCTCTAGAGTATATTCATTCAAAGGAACGTAGATAATCACCGATTAGGAAAAGCAAGTTGTCGAATATAAAAGAAGAAAAACTAAAGTTTAGTTTGTATTGATTTTATTATGCTAAATCAAAATACTATTGCGTTCACAATACCAGCATAGCCCAGTTAGGCACTCAGTAAGCATAAATTATGTGGCCATAAGCTGAAGCGCAAGTTGTGTCAGTGGCCTTGTCCGCAGGTGGTCTAGAGGCTGAGGTACTTTGCTGCTAACCGCAAATCGCGGTATCGAATCCCGGCTGCGGCGGCTGCATTTCTAATGGAGGCGAAAGTGTTGTAGGCCCGTGTGCTCAAGATTTGGGTGCATGTTAAAGAACCCCAGGTGGTCGAAATTTCCGGAGCCCTCCACTACGGCGTCTCTCATAATCAAATGGTGGTTTTGGGATCTTAAACCCCACATATCAATCAAGTTGTCAGTGTACGCAAGTATATTATTAGTTGTTTCTCTCCATTATTACAAATTATGGGTGGAACAAAGTATCTTCAACTGCAAACTCCACGACTGCAAAAAACTTCATTGCCAGCATTCAGAAAAGCAGATATGTTGCTTTTGTTTTGTACTTTAATAGAGCATTCTGTGTTATTTGGACTGTATATGTTCCTTTGCTGTCGTGACATCTTCTGTGTTTATACTTTTTTCTTTCATTGTATATGTATGTATCTGTACATATTGTATAATATGTACAGATACATATTGCATAATATGTATCTGTACATATTGTTCTTTTCGCGAGTCTAGTCTCCTGCCTGGGTCTGGATGAACTCGAACAATGTGCAAAAATACCATATTTTCTGTCTGTACAGTCGAACACCTTCATAAGAGACACTGATATAAAAAACACCAGTGTGCCTACAGTAGAATACGGGTTGATAAAAAAAATTCATATGCGGTACCTCTCTTATACGAGACATCTCATATACCGTATTTACTCGATTCTACCGCGCCCTCGATTGTAACGCGCACCCGATTTCCACCGCGAAAAAAAAAAAAAAACAACAACGTAAGACATTGATTGCAACGCGCACCCATTTTTCTCACTGGCCCGCACGATCACACCACTCGAAAAAACGACTCCTTTCGGGAGCGTCTTCCATTTAAATTTGAGGTATGGGCGAAGCTTGTGCCCATCTGACGTGTAACAGAGCATTGTCGTCACTGTAGTTTTACCGTGGACCGATGTCAGCACGCGAACTTGCTTCGCCTCCTTCTTCTCGACGGTTGTGGTGCCAGGCATGTCGAAGTAAAGAGGCGTCTGGTCGGCATTCCCGATTTGCCCAAGCAGGTAGCCGTTGTTGCGCCGCAAGTTTAGGACGAACCTCTGAAAACTGTGAAGCTTTTCATCGTACTCCTCCGCAAAAGTTTTTGCATATGCATGTTCCCCTTCGGAGAGAAAAGCCTTTCCTCTTCATAAAGTTAGTTAGCCAGCACCTGCTCGCTTTAAACTGGCTCTGCATTAGACCTTTTTTTAAGACTAATTGCATAGCCCGCACTTGGAGCAGTTCCGTCGTCACAGGCCGCTGTGCCGCTCGCTGCTCAAGCACATACTCGCCGAGCAGCTCTTTAATTTGCGGAAACCGACCCTGCTGTGGTCCACTGAAGCCTTTGCGTGAAGCTTTGCTGTCGACAATCTTCTGCTTTTGTTTCCGCCGGTCCCGCACGCACGTTTTGGGAACTCCGAACGACCGCGATGCGGCCCGATTTCCGTCCGTTTCTGCACACGCGAAGACTTTTCTATTAAAAGCGGCATCGTGGTGCACACGAGTATTTGGAGTCGGCCCTTCCACGCCGTCGATGCTAATGCACTACTAGATGACGAACTCCTCAGCACACGTACGAAGTGCCGCACATGAGAAACACATAGGCATAAATGGCCGAGGCGCCATGCCGACGCACGTAGGGGGCCGCCATTTTGGATTTGCCGATGGCAATAGATTGACCGTAATTTTTTTGTTCGTACTCGATTCTAACGCGCATGCGATTTATGAGCTCGCTTAACCGGAAAAAAGGTGCGCGTTAGATTCGAGTAATTACGGTAAGAGACAAGAATTGCTGTCTGTATCGTGCCTCTTATGAAGGGGTTTAACTGTAATTCACACATAAAACTGAAGAATGTGTTTAAAAAGTGGGGCTGCGCATTGTATGCAGGGTTAATGCATCTCTTTTTGTAAAACTAAAGCTAGGGATGCAAGTTATATGCAAGAAAATGCGATGTTGATAAATTCAATGGAATAGTTTTTCTGCTCTTCTAAAATTGAAAACATGTGATTGAACACAATATTGATTACACCAAAGCAAGCTTTTTTTATTTTACGCTCACTGCTAAATTCTTAAGGCATGAATGATTTTTCTGACTTTCTTCTGGATAAGCACTAGCTTGTTATGACCAATAATAGAAATTGCATACATTGAAAAATGTTTTGTAGCGAAAGATTTGAGTTGATAAACCTTATTATTGGATACATCCCAAATCTCTCTCAACCTTTAGCCGGCCCCTTTGGGTTTCTTAAATATAGTTTTATGGCGTCAATAAATCTTGTCTGAGCAAGGACCAAAAGAGGAGCAATGCTTTATCGGTTTCATATTCCTTCACAGGTGCGACAGTGGTGGGCCACCAAGTTTGAACTTGACCAGTACAAGGGTTCCACGGAGCACCTGTTCACATGGAACGACATGAACGAGCCATCAGTGTTCAACGGACCCGAGGTGACCATGCACAAGGATTGTATACACACAGGCGGATGGGAGCACCGTGACATTCACAACATGTACGGCATGTTTCTGGTGAGTGGCTTCTCTTCCAGTTTTGCAGTACTGTAGAGCATCTCCAATTTATAACTGTATTTAAATAATACACCATTGAATGCTTCTGTCACACATTGAATTGTACTTGCATAGGATGTATTGATGGCTAAAATAGAAGGTAATGGTGCAGGATAATTTTTTTTTTTTTACAGTCCCGACGTGCATCTGTTTCAGTCAGTCTTCATAAAGTATGTGCTGTTTTCGCCTTGTGATTGCTGACCAAATACTAGGTCAACCCATTTTATCCAAACTTGAAAATCAATGTTGGAGGGCAAACTTACAGTTGAAAGAGGATAGTAGCATCGGTTATTACAGGGCAGGTGCAAAATGAGGAACGCTGGAGCATGGTTACGACATTACGTTGGCATTCCTGCTTTATCTGTGACACATATACCGTATTTTTCTTACGTATAACCCACTCTCATGGGTTTGACTCATGGGAATTTTTTTAAAAGGAGTGCTGACACGAAAGTTTTTAATTGCAGTTTTTTTTTTTACGTCACATATAATGAAAGGTCAAGCCTTCAAGAGCCTAGAAAATGTACAGCTTAGCATGAGTGCACTCTAAAAAAGTAATTAGTGTATTTTTGAAAGCTAGTTTCGGTTTGTACTGTACCCCGACGTCACAACACGGTATGAGGTTCTTGTCACATGCTCATGCAAGATATCACAACGTTTTCATGGCCGCTTCGCACCATGGTTTCATCGGTGACGTACTAGTGGATATTTTGGAAGCTTTGGTGCTTGACGTCATCACAACTAGCCAGACTGTTGTACGAAGTCACCAGAATTCGTACCCTAGCCTGACGTCAACCTAGTGTCAATGTAGTGCACCGTGAGAAATTTGCTTTAATATCAAAATAAAATATCTAATCAGTATTTGCTGAGCCTCACACTCGCTCAGAACCTCCTCTGTATATAAGAGATTTGTATGGCATTGTAAGCACACTTTCTTAAAATGGTGTCGCTACCCCCTGTTGCAACTCCGGGTCCCGCGGGTCTCATTCTAGTTGCGGCCCTCATCCTAAGACCCATCGTCCAACAAGTCAGATTAGGGACTCGTAAGAAGGACAATTTATTTACAGGGTTAGTAAGTGAGAATTCGAAAGGAGGTTATCAAGTAATCAAGAAAGTACGAGTTCGCTGCTGAACTAAACAGGAACTACAGTCGAAAACCGCAGTAACGAAACCCCGCGAGTACGAAATCCCAGCTGCAACGAAATATTTCTGGATTTCGGCAAACGTTCATAGAAGCCCATGTATTACATATTTCGCGGCAACAAAGTGTTTTTGGACAGCGATCCCGCATCAACGAATTTTCTACCACGGTGCGGGCCTTATTTTACCCTCCCGCCAAAGGTTAACTGTCGAAAATAGGCTCGTATGCGTGTTATGTGCACTCAAAATTTGTAAACGTCTGCTTTTACCGCACTAGCGTGGATACCGCCACTTTTGTTTACTTAAATCGGCGATGGGTCTGTGTCCGGCAACATGTCTGGCCACATTGCAGCAGGCGATGGCAAATGATCATGCTGGAGTGCAGATGGCGCCTGTCGAACGAGCTCAATAGGTCGAAGCAGCACCAACAGTTGAAATCAATCAAAACGACGAAGAGAAGACTGGAACTGGTGGTGAAGTCGAGATGAAGTTACAGTGGCGTCTGAGAAAGGCATGACGCCGGAAGCGGATTCTTTGATCGCGGAAAAAGATAAGAACGGCAACAATATCATCATCATGTTAAGCAGCCTTGCAGCGACACCATTAGAGGGCGACACAATCCCATCCTGCATTCCTTCCGTCATTTCGTCACTTCCGTAGCCTCACAAACTTGAGCGTCGCGAGTTGTGTTGTGTGTGGCTGTTTGTGTGAAAGTGCTGTGGGTGGCTATGGGCACATTGGCTCTTGCTGCACTTCCGAACACCGAACTTCACTTCTGTTCTGCAGCTGCTCGATTAAGGCGTTATTCAGAGCGTCAAGTGCGCCTACAGGGAAAAGTTGATTCAGCGTTCGCTACTCAACCTCCGCCACAAGCGTCCCACCGACGTCAACTTGTGCATGGCTTTTAAGATGGTGGCCGCCGCATGGGTTGCAATATCACCGTCACTGATTGATAACTGCTTCAAGCATGCGGGCTTCACCACCACGGTGCAAGCTTCACGCACGGATTGCACTTCAGCCTGACCAGACGAAGATTTGGACGAAGGCGCACTTGACGGCAAGAGTGGTGAGAGTGCAATGCCTCTATCCCTGAGCAACGCCTGGGGGGGAACTTCGTGCGATCGAGATCAACATCCCAGATGAACACACCGTCGATGCGTTCGTTCGCGCCAATGGCGACGTAGTCGTGTACAAGGAAGGGACCGACGAGGCCATTATTGAAAGCGTGCGTGAAGCTGAGGACACCGAGGACCAAGAAGAGACGCACGCGGAGAAACCCAACCCGCGGGTTGTTTTGGATGCGCTGGACACCCTTCGCTCCTTCTTCGGCGCAGATGACGACGACGTAGCAATGGACCACTTTTTCCAGTGCGAAGGGAGATCTTTGAAGTTGTTGCATGGCAAGGGTCGGCAAAGTAAGTTGACCGGCTTCTGGCAATAAATTTTCATTCTGCTGGCCGTATCACTGTTTTTATGTCTCATATTCGCGACAACAAAATTCTAGCGAAAACGAAATTTTTCGGTTTCCCCGGCGATTTCGTTATTGTAGGTTTCGACTGTAAAACTCAAGATCTCTAAATATACAAAAGGTCTTCCGCTTATATAGCGCCGCAGCCAACCCTGGGTGTATTGTCCGCGGCTTCAGCCAATACGGCACTCGATGGTCTAGGTGCTCCACCCACGAAGGCGGGGAAAGACACCACACAACGTACGTGGAAAGGGCGCAGTCTACACGATGCCCAAATATGGTCCCGAACACACTGCACCAACGTTTTGCCCACGTCGCCAAGATTTTGTGCACGTCTGATAATCGTTGATGATCTTGGTTTCCAAGAACTCTTCCAGCATGTAGGGCGAGGTTCTAAAGACCGGCTCCCTGTACACGTGTCAAACTTGCCTGGCTGCGTTCGGGTAAGACAGTGTAGTGGCCTAACAGCTTATCGTCAAATATGCTACTCCATTTACCCGATGCTATGGAGAGAGGGGGAAGGGGAGTGGTCGACTAATTCCTCCTCATTTGCTACAACAGGTTTGGGTTTTAGCTTTCATCCCAAACTGCAAATACCATGCTGGTTACGGTCTCTCCAAATCCACGGTGACTTCGAAAATGGCCCAGTTCCCTCCTTGTTTGCCTGAAAAGCTTTGCACGTAGTCAAGTTCACAATGACTTTTCCTTGCTCGTGCGTTTTCTTAGCGCCGAACCGGTCCTGGGACCCTTGTTCACATTTTGCTGAAAGAAAATGAGCCCATCTTGACAGTGTGTCCTTGCTTGAAATGCGTCGAAATTTTCGTCCAGTTCACAAATGCCGAAAGAACTTCAATAATGATGACGATCATAACACCCCTTAAAAATGAATCCCGCATAATGCTGCGAAGTTATCTTCTCTTCATAGCTGTGAAGCACTGCCGTGAAGCAAGCTTTTCACACAAGGAATGTGTTGAGTTCAGTGGCTACTTAAATAAATTTCCTTTGTGAAATGCACTCGCCCATTTTTTTCCTCTTGAGTTTTTTGCCACACTTTTTCGGAGAGTAGACCTACATTCCAGTTGACTTAGAATCGCTAAAAAATAGTAGGTCAAGATGTGTTATTCGAGTGAAACTCGATCAAAATATGCCAGCCTAGCATTTTTAGTTTTTGAAAAAGTAGATGCTTTCATTCTAACTCACAGGCCTGTGTTGATTTCAGCCAATGTCTACCTACATGGGCCACCTGCTACGTTCAGGCCACAAGCTGAGGCCATTCATTCTTTCAAGATCGTTCTTTGTGGGATCACAGCGTTATGGTAAGTCATGGCACTTGTTGAAATGCTCCTTTATCTAACATGTGTTTTCACCATTAAGCTTCCCATATATAGACCTATCCCATGTTTGTAAATGGGGGTAGGTGCCGTCAACATACTGAGATGCATGTAAAGACGTCGCGGAGCGGAGGCTCCACCCAGCCCAAAGCTCACCACAGCAGTCTATGATCACATGACAACAGGCACAATAGCTGCAAAGCTCCTGTATGGGGTTGTGTTCAGTTCTTTTCTCTGCTTGGTGATAACTTTGTCTTTTCATGCAAAGTTACATATAAGGACTGTGTGTGCGTGCGATAGCAAGGTGCAACAGCTGCACTTTAACTTTTACCCTGAGTAATATTTGCGACATTGTTTTTAACATGCAGCATTTTATGTCAGGCACCACCAGCCTTCCTCAACTATGTTATGCTTTAACTGTATACTGAAAGGTTACTGTTACTTGCTAAGGTCAAGGACAAGAGATTTTCTAGTGTACTATCTCATCTTCAGCTATACTTTAAGAATAAGACATCATAGTAAGGCTACATTAAATGTGAAAGAAAGAACAGCATGTCAAGACTTTTTTTTTAATTGTCTTCTTGGTTGTTAGTGGACCTGAAATCGAGAATTGGAAGAAATCTTGCTTGGCTGGGAAGTAACGGCATTATTGTTATAAAAAACAGAACATTGACCATGATGTCGTTGACTAAATATTTCATCGTAAAGCGGTGCAAAAAGATGACACGAGACGGACTACACGGGACTGATGCTGGTAGTTTTTCATCTCGTGTCTTTGTCTTCTTGCACTGTTTTACAATGAAATAGCCCAATTTCGCATGCTGTTGAAAGATTTTTCAGCTTCCACACAGAAGCCTTGATCACTAAACGGAGAGATCATATTGGTCTCATTATTGAGACTTCTTTTTTTTTCTCTTATTTTTAAAACTGAGACTGTTTTTCCTTTACAGGTGCTGTGTGGACAGGTGACAATGATGCCGATTGGAAGCACCTTCGCATCACCGTGCCCATGTTGCTCTCCCTGAGTGTGGCTGGAATCTCGTTTTGTGGCGCCGATGTTGGTGGCTTCTTTAGAAACCCCGACAGTGAGCTCTCTGTTCGTTGGTACCAGGTGAGCTGCTGCAGCACCCTCCTGTTGCTCATCAGCGTTATGAATGTAATCCTTCAGGGGGAGGGCGTGGCAGTGAAAACTATTTTTTTTATTCATCGAGATGAAGTGATGAAATTTGGCGTGCAGATGTCAATTGTTGTGCTCATATCATAAATGAAATCGGTTGTGAGCTATCTGATGTATTTTCTTGAGTTACAACACTTGATAGACTGTCACTGGCACCCTAAAAACAATTAGACATGAGTGCATCAAAATTTTCGTATAAGGATACTTACAAGCGACGATTCTATGCCGTAATGCCATTGGCTTATTTTTAATTTTCAAGTAAGCACACAAAAAAAATTTTTTTGAAATGTTTTTGGCATATTGTCTTACTAACAACTTTTATAAAAAGCAAATTATAGAAATTGGTATGATTTGCACACAAATATAGACAGCTTTGCAGCACTTACCTATGTCTTAGGATCGAAGTACAAAAAATGGAATGGCAATATCTTCGTTTGTTGCGAAATGGTACACAGATGATTGACAATGACTGCCCCCCCCCCCCACCTAAAAAAATAAAAGCTGAGAAAATGGAGCTCAAAAATATTGGAGCTAATAGTTGGGAAAACGGGACTTCGAAGGGAGCTCTTGAGCTCTGATCTGCCCTCTTTACGATGATGCTAATATGGTGGCACAGAGCCAAGGGAAAGCTTGCAGATTTGCTTTTTCTGAAGCTTTTTATTTTCTCATAGATTTCGACTACAGCTCACCAGTAAAATGTTTTTTTTTTTTTTCAACTTCTACTACTTATTTTGGCCTGATATTTCACCATGATGTAAAACATGGTCTCAGGATTGCAGAATAAATAAATTGAAAAATTGAACATTTTGATCAAATTTACCATTCCAATTGCCATGTCCCCCCCCCGCAGCACTTCAGGAACACAGGTTGTCGTATATCCGTGGGATCTCGGGTGGCCTGATCACCCTCAAATTCAAGTGGTCAACACAGGCCTCAAACAAGCTAGCAGTGCTCAAAATGGGGTTGAAAGTGAAACGATGTGCAAAGTATCATAAATGGAAATAACCAAGCTGTAATGTCAATAATTCTCTCAAATGGCTGAACACCTTTTGAAAGCATACACCTGACTCCCGTGCCGTGCATGAGGTAGCACTACTGCCTTGCCAAAAGCATGATTGCTCCTCCCGCTGGTGTTCTAGAGTGCATTCGTCACTACATCTTTACAAGGGAAAACTAACCTGATAGAGCAGGCTGCTGAGGACACATACCTCTGCAGGAAGTTGTTAAAGCCCAACAAAAAGTAGCGCGCATGTTGTATACAAAGTTTGTGAATCTCGCAAAATTCTACTCGTGCCTGGAAAACTCTACATGCTTACCGGAAACATTGATGTCCTCGATGGTTTGTTTAACGAAGCAATGGGAACTCAGTACTAACGAGAATTGCTGGTTATGCATGCTACTCGCTTCCTCAGGTTTTACGGTGGTGGAAATACATTTAGCACAGAATTTAGAACTACACCTACCGCTTCACAGTTTTTGTTTCATCACTCACTGCTCAGCCCATGGAGCAGGCGCTTAAAAAAAGTGCCAAAAATTCTGCCAGATTGATCCACTGTTCCTCCTTATTATTATTTTTTTTTAAAGGCGGGTGCCTACCAGCCGTTCTTCCGTGCACACTCTCACATTCACACCAAGCGACGAGAACCATGGAGCTTCGGGCCAGAAACCCTGGAGCTAGTAGCGGGGTGCATTGTACCAACGCTACGCCCTGCTGCCCCTCTGGTACACCCTGTTCTTTGAGAATGAGCGCACCGGTGTGCCTCCCATGCGGCCTATCTGGATGGAGTTTCCTCTGGACAAGGCGGGCTTTGCAGTTGATGACGAGCATCTTGTCGGTGCGTACAGTTTTCACTTTTGTGACTACAGTCAAAACTCGTTAGAACTTTGTTGTAACTAGTTTTAATGAGTGTAACAAGTTGTAACGAGGGGAATTACAATTGCTTCATGATCCCTGCTGTCTCGGCGGCGTGCGAGACCCCAGCGCGGAGCTGAAGTAGAGAAGGAGGTCAGATGTGTGGGATTGGTCGACGAGTTCTACAGGAGAGGGAAGGCCGGCTGATGCGCACGCTCACAGAGTTGATGATTAGAAAGGGGAGACAGGGAGACTCACTCCCACACGCATGTTGACAGGCCGCTGGCGGCTTCTGGGGAGCGCAAGGCGCGAGTTTTGAATTACCGCAGCTGTAATGAGACGTAGACCGTCACGCACTCTAAAATATTGAATTAACGTATACCAAAACGATCAGTAAATGCTCATTGCAAACGAAGAATGGTTCGTTATATTCATTGTGAGGAAGTTCTTGCTTAGTTGAAACGAGGTTTTAAATACATGAGTGTCTATGGCATTTTCAAGGGGAATTACAATTGCTTCATTATATTCATTAGTTTGTTATATCCCGCTTCATTCTAACGAGGTTTTACTGTAGTTATACTCGGCCATAACTTTTCTTGGCTTTGAAGTGAATGCTACAGAGCCAAATCGCATACATTCTACTGCCACTGAATGTAGTTTCACAATATCACCAGTGTTTTCAGCGTGAAATATAAAAGTTCCTCTTTTATTTTCCACATGAAGCTCTTTGAGACAGGATGCAGCTAACACCAGTAAGATATTCATATTTATTTTATTTGTTGTGACTTCTCACTTCTGGACACACAAGAAAGTTTCACCTTTTTATGTGTACCTCAAACGCTAAGTGGCGTCTGCGTCCACATGAAATGTCGATGGTGTGCTTTCGTCACTTTCCACAGTGTTACAAGACGCGTGCCAAGGTGGACTACTTCGCGTAGTGCTACGTGCGCAGAAGCTCCATCCTCATAGCTTTCCCTTCAGTGCCAAGAAAATTTGTCCCATAGTGTAGCAGGAATAATTAGTATAAGTTGAAGGTATATAACAGCTGCATCTTACCTTTTCTTACCACTAGAGCAGAAACTTGGAGGCTTACAAACATGGTTCAGCTTAAATTAACTGTGACGCAGCAAGCCACGCAAAATAGAATGATAGGTGAAACGTTAAAGTACAAGAATAGAGCACGAGGGGCTGGGTACAAGTGGGTGATCGGGACATCTTATACCTTTAACACACTCATCTATTAGGTAAAGGGACATCTTTCAGAAAGGCATACATGCAAAGTGACATATGACAGAGGAGTATACTTCTTCCAGCAAAGTTTCATTGAGGTGATGCAGATTCCGTTCTGGCTGTTCTCCTGCACAAAGAATACACACTTGAATTGTGCACAGTTTTAAAATGCTCCCTGGGTGCTGTCATACCCCCTCTGGAGCTCTTGTAATTGTGCGCGACTCCTTGAGATGCACTGTTGAGGTGATGTTTGTTCTTGTTTTTCTTTGTTTTCTTTTTTCTTTTTCGCATTTATTTGAGAAACCAGAACTAATAGTATCAAAGGCCACAAAGCACCTGGACAACTTAGTTTGGTGCTGCACGTGATCTGTGCAACTTCTTTCTGGAAATGATCCTTCATAACGACAAAAATGGTTTGCTATAATGTACTTTACTTTTGCCTGTGTGTCAAAGGTGTTAGTCAACATCAAGAAAAAGAAATGGGTAGTGCACGTGACGTGTAGGCAGGATAACTGGTGGTCATTAAGGATGACTGAATGGATCTCAAAATAAGGCAAAGATGTGAGTGGATGACAGAAAGTTCGGTGGGCAAATGAGATCAAAAAGTTTGTGGGTGTAACATGGCAACAGCAAGCACATAACTGGATTGGTTGGCAGAACTTGGGAGAGGCATTCCCCTTGAAGTGGGTGTAGCCAGGCTGACGATGATGTCCACGTTCACAAGAATCGATCCTGCAGGCTCCTTCAACTGTAAATTTCGGTCAGTACTCATGTAATGGTCAGTGGTTATCCTGTCTGTGCACTACATGCCCATTTCTCGTTTCTTGATTTCGACTAAGTTGTCTTCAACAACCTTTTATTTTATGTTCTACTCTTCCTCTTCCCGTTCCTTTAATCTACACTTACCGTTTTTCTTTTCATGACTCGCTGCATTGTCCTCAATTTAAGTTCAATATATACAGAGTCCATATCTGTGGCAGCTCTGTGAATTTCTGGTGCTTTTCTGGTCGTATAACGTTCTGCGGTGTTGTCTCTAGGAAATGCGCTGCTGGTTCATCCCGTTACTGAGGCTGGGGCAACCAGGGTCAGCGTCTACTTTCCTGGCGAGTATGAGGTAAGCAGTCTTTAACTGTTTATGAGGGAGAAGAGAGGCAGGAAACTGGAAAGTGGAAATAAAAATGTAAGGGAGCTCATCAAAAGTAAAGTCTGGTAAGCTGTCTTATACTGTGCAAGAGAGGTAAAAGTGAAGAAGACATGTTCAATGAAACTGTATGGCTAATGCTCACTCATCGCAGGCTGAGTTATCGTCAGTAATATGATACAGTTAATCCCCTTTATAAGAGGCATGCTAGGGGCAACAATTTTTGTCTTTTATATAAACTGTCTCTTATAAGCAGAGTTCGTCGTATGCATTTTCTGATCAACCCATACTTTACTGTAGGCCCACTGGGGTCTCTTATACCCATTTGTCTCTTATATCAGTGTCTCTTATGAAAGGGTTCGACTGTACTGAGTCAGCGCAACATCCAAAGGATATAGAAAGAAGTAGACACAATCCTTCATTCATCTCTGTTAGAGGTGGCGCTACCCGTTTTCTTTCTACATCCTCATCACATCGCACTCGCACACTCTGTCATCAAAGAACTATCCCGCCAACATGTTTTATTCTGGTACCCTCATTAGACCTTAACCCACCGTGTCGCTGCGCCATGTACATTGTATTTCACAGCGTGCTAATGTTTTTACAATTACAGTAAACTCTCAGTAAATGGAACTGCTGCTTAAACGGAACAACTGCCTCTGGCCAAATTGGTTTCATGCTTGTGTTCTGCACCACAGGTGATCTTTCGGTAAATGGAACCCCTGTTAAATGGAACATGCTTTCTCTGTCCCTACAGGTTCCATTTACTGCGAGTCTACTGTATCTCTTGTAACTAGTGTTTGTCCTTTGTGAACCACATAGTGGTCGGTAGTATGTGCTATTAAAATAAAAGGCTGGCACGAATGTTCAAGTCTGTGCAGTGCTTGTATGTAATTGGTCAGTCTGCATGGCTCAACGAGCATGGAAATGTGTTTTAGCAGTCTACACAAATGTTATTCTCTCGGTATCTCAAAATATTTTTCTCTAGCAAGCTGTGTCAAGGGTGCGAAGGTTACACAAGTGTGTGAAGGTTTGCAGCCCTGTGTTTGGAGTAAATCATAAAAGCTGCTCAAAATGTAAACTTGATTAGTGGTAGTAGGTTAAAGCCCGAAACATATGCAGCGTTTTTCCGGCGTTTTCCTGGCGCTTTGTACGCTGGCGTCACTCGGCGTCGATGCTGCCAGTGACGGTAGCCGAAACGTCCACTTCTGGATGATTCAGATATCTGCAGCACTGGCGCCGACTCCAGGAACGAGTTGACAAATGCAGAATCAATCAGCGCATGGCAGCCAGCAACTTTCTACATAACAGCATCATTTGCTGCTGTCAAAAAGGCTGCCGCCTGTCTCGGATCTATTAAGTCGTTGCCATGCTCTGTGTGACCTGAAAATTATCAACTGATGCTTGTATTTGACTTAGCTTGTTCCTCAAAAGTTTTGACAGGAAGTGCTCGGAATTTCTTTGAACCGTTTTCAAGCGCCATACTCAAGTCCATCGGTAGGTTTAGCAGGCCTGAGTGTATTGGCTGAATACGTGGCCTCAGACGCCCAACTACTTCCAAGATCAGGGATCGTGTATTGCGAGTTTGATTCATCCTATTCTCAACAGCTGGAGTAAAGGTGAACAAAAAAAAACTTTTTGTTACTACTGTGATTTGTTTTTCTCACCTAAGAACTACAAATAAGACATGAAACCGATTTTCAAAAATATTTCTTGTTGCTGCATTGACGCAGACTGCACACTGCCTTACAAGGTCTCAGGTTCATTCTCTTTGACACATTCTGCGGCGCTAAGCTGACACTGGCCTTGGCGCTCCTCATATGGTTTGCCACCCTCTCTGCTCTGGCGGCGTTAACGCCGAGGGAAGGGGCGCTGGGAGAACGCTGGCAAAAACGCTGCATATGTTTCAGGCTTTAAAGTATGCTTGATACAAATCAGTGTTGTAGTGTTCCTCTATTGAAAGGAGGCCAATCTCTGGGTGGGTGTAGTTTGCAGGTGGTATCTTTTTGCAATAGCTTTCAAGTGTACTTTCACTTATGCAATACCAGGCATGCTGTCTCAGTGCAGGGCCCTTGACATCATACGCAAGTATCAGGGATTGTCAAAAGTTGCAGAAAAATGGGATTTCTTGCAGTGGCAAACCTAGTGGTCTCAGCCATTTCTTCATTGTTACAGTCTGGAATGGAAATGTAGTTTGACCTGGTATGAAGCTGTGTGCGATATACTTTGTTGAATACAATGCAATGAATTAAAGTGTTCATTTGCTTATTGTTACTTCTGTTTTTATTCATTATTGATGTGGTCTTGGTTGTTTTTCTGCCAGGTCTGGTATGATGTGGAAACTTGGGAGAAGTTCGATGGCCTGAGTACAGTTTCCATCCCTGTTACTTTGAGCAAGGTATGATACCGTCCTGGTACTTCACTTCTTTGTAAGATTTTTCAGCTTTTTTTTGTAATTGCTATGTCCACTACTGTAAATGACATTGATGTTAAGTGTCAGCTGTGTAATATTTATTTATCTTTTATTGAAACATTGTTCATATTTACACTTGCAGAAGCTTGAATATTGCCATATTTTTGCCTCGTTCCCATCGAAGTTGATTTCTGACATTGCATTTTGAAAAAAAAAAAAATAATTGTGGGGCTGAGCTGCATCGTAGATGAATTGGAATGAGCATTGCCATCCTTCCAGATTCCCGTATTCCAAAGAGGTGGCACCATCGTCCCCAAAAGGAGCGCATGCGTCGGTGTTCTGCGTTGACAAAAGACGACCCTTACACTCTGCAAGTGGCACTTCCAAAAGAGGTAAGTCAAATAAAATTTGGAGCTGTGCAAATAGCAAAATTTTGGGTGAAGGTGAGTTTGAATGTTGAAGTGTGAATCGAATTGAATATTTTTTTAAATACACTCAAACGCCGTCATAACGAAGTTGAAGAGGAGCTGCATTTCGTTATATTCATTGTTTCGTCATATCGATTATAAGTTTGTAGCATGCAAACCATGCAAAGAAGGAAACCGCCCCGTGGCCCAATGTACCTCTATGCGACCACACATGCGACAGAAAAAAAAAAAAATAGAAGACAAATATTTTGCTTGCTCATTGCGCACACTGGCTGTTTTATTCCCGTTAGACTTAATTTTTTCATAACTTAGAAAAAGTTTGTGATGCTCTTTTGCTTCGGACATTGCAAGCGAAGGACTTCCTTTTCGGCGGTGGCCACCGCGTTCATGCCATTTGGTACTAGTATTACCCCAAGGTTATCGACATTTGCCTGTACTATGTCTTGCAGCTTTACCTATAATGAAAAATCCCTGAACGGTGTTGCTTGTGATGGTACACTAGCGCCAAGAAAACCAGTTCTAGCCTTGAGAAAAACAAATCCACTCATCGATATGAGCACACAATCCCAGTTTACAGATTTTTTCATCGCAAGTTCTATGTTCTCCTAGCTACCGTTTCTTTAATTAGCCTTACCTGTAGTTGCATATTCCCAAACATGAAAGATGCAGATGTCTGTGCATTACCGAATCATTGTGAACTCGGTGTCTCTTAAAGGCAAACATTTTGTGTTCTCAGGGCAAACCTGCAGAGGGAACGCTGTACATTGATGATGGTGCAACCTTCGATTACAAGAAGGGAGACCTGCTGTACCTGAAGTTCAAGTTTGTAGACAACACATTGACATCAGAGTGAGTGTCGGCAACTCTTCCTTTCTTTAAGCCATATAGTTTAAAAAAAATTCCTGGTTCTTGTTGGAACTGGCCTGCTGCAGCAACTTGAAATTTTTGTTGCTGGCCTGGCCAAAAACGTTATGCGTTCAATTCCAAGTTGTGGTGGCCTGCGTACTAGTGAGGATAAATGGCAAAAAAAAAAAAATGTCACTTTGAACTGCCACTTGGAAGAAGGCATTTTTCATATCTCATACGTGTGTAGATCATACTAAAGAGCATTTGCCATCAGGATTTCAGAAACTGAAATCTTAATGCAACGCCTATTGTAAAATAGAGATTTCATCTAATGGTTATGTTCCAACACACAGCGATTGCATGTGGTTCTGTAGCGTATCCGAACAAAGCGTTATAATTGATATAGATAAGTAAAGGATGCGAGTACCATTAAGCAATGCCGCAAAGATAAATATTTCTTTTTTTTTTTTTAAGCTGTAGGCTATTGGTGAAACAGCCACTATCCACATAGTTGAGAAATAAATGTTTTCTTTTCCTTCCTCATATACTTGCTCACTCTGATTTATCATTGTGCTGTGTATGTAGAATTATGTTATACCGCTTAATTCTTATCCCGCCACGGTGGTCTAGTGGCTAAGGCACTCGGCTGCTGACCGCGGAGTGTGGCTGCGGTCGCGGAATGGAATCCCGGCTGCGGTGGCTGCACTTTTGATGGAGGTGAAAATGCTCGCGGCTTGCGTGCTTAAGATTTAGGTGCACATTAAAGAACACCGCATGGTCAAAATTTCTGGAGCCCTCCACTATGCTGGTTTTGGGACGTTAAACCCCATATATGATTATTACTGCTTAATTCTTGATTGCTTATGCCTGCTTATTTTTAACAATGGAGTTTTTCTCAGTGGGCCCTTTGCTAGCCATTATCACAAGCGGGCATGTTATGCACGTCAGCAGCAGCACTTGCAATGCTGCTTACATCACAGCTGTCATAGTAATACGCATTGTGGGGTGGTAGAATGGGCCACAGGAACGAGATGTTGTCACCCACAGTGTCCAACACAGAGAAATGATAAAACGCAGAAATGTTTTAAAAAGACTTGCAAAGCATGAATACTAAGGAAAAAAAAAAAGAAATAGAAAGACAAGAGCATCATCTGTGCTTTTTTGATGGCTTTGACAGAATGGAGCTTGCTTCATTTTTTTTTTTTGCATACATTGTTCAGAAGGACACTACAGAGCAAAGCAAAACAATTTTTCTCATATTGGTAAACTACTCTTTCCTGTTACTGATAATATTAAGCGTGCTGCAAGAAATTTTTAAATTTAGAACAAGTGCAGAAAGAAAATGTTAGTGACAGTGCCACCTCGAAATTGCCTCCACAAATGTCGTTAATCCGTAGATTTTGGTTGCATCTACTAAGTACTGCTTAGCCCCCAATCAGTAAAAATGAAGTGCATTGTTCTCTGTGAGGGCCATGGACTTGAACATAATACCAAGTTTCAAGAAATTTTGTTGAGCCCATGGCACCAAAATACAATACTGTAATTACTCGCATAATCCTCGCCCTTTTTTTGGCAGAAAACCGATGCAGAGTTGAGGGGTGCGAGAATAATGCGGGGAAAACTTCCACGAAAACGTACAGAGCGAAAAAGAAAACGAAGTGGCTGCAAATCAGGATTCTCACACCAGCAACTAACAGCAAGCTTCTAGAAGTACTAATCAAAACTTGCTTCAACAATAAAAGCACAGGTTCAACACAAGGCAAGATTTATTTGAGACACAAAAAGTGCAAGTAAGTAGTCGAGAATTAGAATATCATAATCAAAGCTTGTGGGCGTAGCGGTAGCGTTCTTCACTCAACAGGAGCTCTCAAAAGGTAAGTGTAGAACGTCAGTATTGGGCTGAGAACCATTTAACAGAATCGTCCGCTGTTGCCTTCTGATGAAATAAAGTTTACCATCAATGCCGGTCTTAGGCACACGGAAGGCCCACCGCATTTGGTGGCTTTCAGCTGCTGTCATCAGTATAGTACACAAAACTAGTCGACTTCAAGGGCCTACCAGCGGCTCTGTTGCCGTTGTTTAGTGCATGATCAATCACTTTCAACTTGAAAGCAGCCGTGTAGCTTCTGTATTGCTCCGTAACGTAGCAACATTACGGACACAACGTACTAAAGATGCCACCATGCCCACTTGCCACTTTGGCTTGGCTTGGATTAGATTGAATCTCGGTGCAATAATCCTTAGGAGATGGCGCCAGATGGCGTGCGCTATCATCATCAGTGGCTGGAACGAGCAGATGACATTATTGTGGCAATTTTAGGGAGTGTGATAATTACTCGAGGAAAAAAAAAAACATTGTATTTTTGTTTGTCAAGGGGGAGGGCGAGGATTACACGAGTAAATACAATAAATGCTTTGAAATCCATGATGTCATGCATGAAGGTTTCGCTGCTGAATTTTTTTTAACTTAATTTTCTACTCTTGTAATAAACCCAGGGTAAACAACATTAGAGCTCTCGATGCATAATTTATCAGTATATATCGATTCATTACTTCACGTTAGGGTTCTTATAAATGCTGTAGCATCTCTTCTATCTGAGCAAGTGGCCAGTGTACGAATATGTTTGAATAACGATCCTGAAAATACAAAGCAGAAGAATGGATCGGAAATACGTTGCCTATACTGATTGGCAAAAATATGTATGCAGTATGCCAGCACACAGCTGATGTGTACAGAATGGGTGTGTCCAACAGTGTGAAACCAGCATTGTTGGTTCTGTTGTAATTTTGCATTGATAGGGTTATCTTGCAGCTTTCGTCGGCTCATTGCTCTGAAATTATTCCTGTGCAGAATCTTGGAGGGCCCAGGAAACTTCAAGACGAAGGCTTGGCTAGAACGTGTGGTGATAGCTGGCTATCCCACGCGACCTTTGATGTTCAGCTCGTTACAAGTAAGGCTCCTTTCCAATGACTCTATCATATCTTGGCTGTTTGCAGTGTGCAGTTTTCTGTTAAAAGGAACATGAGAGCACAAAAATTATGCTTTGCTGGCACTTTATATGCCAGTACAAATAGTTGCTGATGGTACTGTGTGAGTACACTGCGCAGTGTTTCAGAACCAGCTACAAAAAGGCGTCTGCTGGAAAACTGCATACTGGCACAATTTTCATAGAGGGAAATTTTAGTCATTCTTCATTCACATCTCCTCTTTAAGGGGGCAGACTGCTCTTAGACATTTTTTGTTTATTTCTTCAGTGATCTTGATCAAACTGCACATAATTATGCAGTTTTTTCAGCTGATTTCAAATGTTTAATTAGTTGTTCTGTAACTCATCTTATTCCTCAGAAAACTTAAGTTCACCCCCTATTATTTAAGGCCGCCATAGAAAAAAAAGTGCATAATTAAAAGTGATATTTAAAATATCCTAACATAGAGTAATGACTATAGATTGAAATAATGCGAGAGTTTTTTGTTTTTAGCCTTTCTTATTATTTTACAGCAAGATGAACTATCCATTTTCAAAAGCAGTTGGAATTGTGTTAAAATTTTGATGAGTAATTAATTAAAAAGGCTTGTTCTCTAAATTATGATCCCATGCTTGCACCCTACACATATACAGGTATCCATTGCAAAAAGAATTATTGTTTTACCTGCCCTAGCTGCAGAGATATTGAGGCCTCAAAATTGAACAGTTGTAAATTTACTTTTTTGAGAAAAATGGAAAAAACTGAAAACACACAGCTTCTTCAAAAAGCAACAATCGTGGTGTGCATATTTTGCAATCCTCATAAAAGTGCTCATAAATTCGTAGCAGAGCTTCTAACACAGGTGCCGGCAAATTTTAAAGAGGCCTCGAAGTTTGTTCCCCCATATTTTAGCAGGTTCTGCATGGTAACAGCACCAAGAATCTGGACAGTTAGAATGACGTTACAAAAAAATTACCACTTCTTGGTGTGTAAAAATTTGCAGAGAGATAGCAAAATACTTACAGATACCAAATATGTCAATTTTAAAAAATGATTTTTTTTGTCACTTTTTGGTTTCAAAGAGCAGTCTGCCCCCTTAAGTGGGGAAACTCCAACTTAAAAAAAAAAAGATTAATTTTGATGCTACTTGCGATTATGTTTATTTGTGTACTGATTACAAAAAGGAGTTATTTTGCTAGTGTAATGTGTACTTTGTGTAAATACCCAACATTTCATGTGCTTTTTAGGATGATTTTTTTTCTGAGAAAGCCTTAATGTAAATCAGCATTTTAGAAATAATCTGATGTGAGGTGTGAGAAAAAAAGGAATGGACGTTCTTAACCCATTGGAACAAAATCTATCACGTTTGAACACCCATGGTTGAAGTTCAAGCTTGACAACAACTCACTCATTAGTGCTATAATCTTAACTTTTCACATTTTTTTTTTTTCTGTTGCATGCAGTTGTCATTTCAAGTTATTCTGATATGTTCATTTGCTACTTTCTCAGTTCAGCAGACAGTCTTGCACCCAATAAATTACATGAATGTTAAATATTCAAAAGACCACAAAATTCATTAAATAAGTAATTGCATGGTTTAAATGAACAAACAAATATACACAAACTTTCAAGTTTCACCAAAATGAATAAAGAATGAGAAAAACCAAGCAGCCTAGGGGTCCTGCAACTTTTCTCAATAATGAGTTTATTGCCTCATGAATCAATTGAAGCAAAAATTTTTTTTTGAATTCGTTAAGAACGAGCCTGGTTACATGGATTTGTTACACATGTTGAACACTATTTTTTCAGACTAATGAGCATGCTGGAAGAGACATAGGGAGGGGCAACCCTATTTTGGTAGCTGACAATCACCTACAATCGGGTAGTTAGCAATCATTCTTTTCGTAAGATTCTGCCACCTTTTCAAATTCTGCAGAGCTCATTTGCAAAATCTTGTGTCTCATGTGCTTTGAGTCGACTTATTTGCCTTTGTGCTGCCAATCGCTAGCCGCACCAAGAACGGAAAAATTTGTGTTAAGAGAGGAGAGGGAGGTGCATTATATGCGAAGAAAATAAGTATCTATTTGTGGCTTCAGGTGGGATTGGGCAGTTTTATGTTATCCCTTTCATCTCTCTTCAGCCACTGTGTGAGATTCCAAAAAACTCATTTGCGAATTTGCATTAACTCTGCAAGTGTTGTCAAAATCTATCGGGACTCAAAAAAAAAAGTTTTTGATGTGCAGTGTCTTCTTTTGAGCCTATCTTTAGCATAACTATGTGTATTATTTTCTTTTTCTAGGCAAAGGAACTCAGAGTCTGCAGTTTACTTATGAAGAGAAGGAGCAGCTTCTCAGGGTGCGCAAGCCGGGAGTCAACATTGCCGAGAAGTGGACGCTCAAGATTCTTTCTTAGCCTTCAAAGCACTCGTGTGTGGTGTGCAGTGGAAGCACCCTCCACACTTTCCTCATTGGCGGAACACCTCGTCTTTGAAGAAACGGCAGTTTCATTTTCTTCCTTCTCTCCCTGTGAACATGCTTACTTGCCCCTCACGTTATTTTTTAAAGAAGAAAGATCAACATTTCAGCGTTATACGCCACCATTCCTTTTCGCGTGTATTTTAAGAAAGGGTAAACCCAGTCGGGTAAGGGGTTATACCTTGTGAACGCAAGAACACACTCTTACATACACTTACACTGGCCCCTATTGTAAATAACCACAGATGTTACAAGGAAGTTAGGTTCTAGTACCTGGCTTTTAGTTTCTCGGTGACGAATGCAGAGTGAATGATGTACGCACACACACACATGCATATATATATGTATACTGGTATTGTGAGTGGCTTTTTACAGCACTGCACTGTGTGAGGCCAGATTGCTGTGGCTGCCTTTTTTTTCTTTTTTGTTGACTTTTTTTTTTGTAGACACGAGTTCTGGTTCCTGCCTTTACGCTGTGCGTCTTGAAACTTAGTTTTTAAAATTTCAATAAACATGTTTTTTGCAATCGCTTTCCTGGTCTTTTGATAGTTGGTACAGCTTTTTCTTGCTATAAGTACCTGAAGTAAAAAATGGAACATTTAAGTCATCTGCACTTATTTAGTAGTTTGTGAATACACATGTGGCACTACTTATATGGTGTGGTGCTTGAATCTGTATGTAAAATAGCATGACACTCATTGACTTGAAACCATCTTTCAGAAGCAATATTTTCTTCTCAGTAATTGCTGCTGCTACTGCTGCCATGCAAAGAACAGTGGAAATAAGCTGCACTCTAAAACAGTTTGCATGAAGTTTTCGTTTAAAATCTGCAGTCTTAAAGTAGTTGTGCAATTGTCTCTGAGAATATGGTATGAAGTGAAACATTTTGTTGTGTTAAACAACAGCTTAGTCGAGGACTTGGTTTTATAATATAGAACTGTTGTGGCACTCTGCAAGGCTTGTTATTTTAAGGTAACTGTCATTTTGAAATTTAAGAGAGTGCTTAATATTAAAATGCCATGCAATTTATTGCTACTGGTAAACTGCCATAAAATGCTCTTTAAATATCACAAATATTTGTGAGCGTCTTTGTATGGCTTGTCACTGGCAAATGAGCCGCACAGAGAAGCACACACAGCATGCATACACAAGCCTCAAAAAGTGGGGAGTGGATCAAGTGGTTGTTTTCCTTCTTCGTTATGCACAACAGAGTGACACCAAGGGACCCATAAGGTATATTATTTGTAGCTTGAAAGGAAATTAGTGAGCAAAAGAAAAGTGGCTGAACCTGAAACCTTTGCAAATTTTGCTGGTCCATTCACTAACAATGACAGGTTCTTTCATTTACTTCCTTTCCATTTGTGTGCTAATTACTACATGTAAGTTAATGAGTACAAATAATTTCCCCTAGGCCTTTCATGGCTTTGTTGGGTTATGTAGTGTCTGTTTTTTGCACTGCACTACACTATGATCGAATTGTTCTAACTCGCCCAATAAGCAACATTGCTAGGTTATGTGGCACACGCATACTGTTTTTTTTTTTTTTTTTGCGAATAAAGTCTAAGCTCACTATGGTGAATATCCACAGATAACGTCTGTGGTTAGTGCTTGTATTTGGTTAGTTCCATGTAATGTTTGTTGTGTGTTTGATTATCACACTGCGAAGAGATCGAAAGATATCGAGTCTCGCTTAACTGAAACAGCTATCCCCAGTTGACCGATGCAAAATCGGGCGGCCGTCGATACGGCCACAGGCATATCGTTTGCTGTGCATTCCGTCAACTACACTGCCTGGATGCTGGCCACAAGTGATGAGGCGGGAGGTGGGTAGCTTCGCTCTACAGGTAAGGGCACAGGTGTACGCGCCGCTGTTATTCACGACGCCTTTGTGCCCGCGGGCGTCGACTCGATTGTATTTCGCGGCGCCGAGAGCGGTTTATTTACCGCATCGCCATCTGTCAACCTTGAGAGAGAACAACGGCGGCTGGCGGGCCGCTGCCAGGTGCTTCCGTAGACGTACAGTGTGGTCACCGTCAGCGGGCGAATTCTCCTAGGCACACGCATCGCTGCTTCTGTGCGTCGCACCGAGTCAGCTGAGCATGCCGTTTTGTGTCGTCGCATACGCGCACGCCGCGGTAACCGCGCGTTGTGAAGGGGCACGACCAGTACGCTCGACGGAAAGACCGCGCTGTCGACACGAAGAGCCGATCCGCGTCAATCTCCGGAAGGATGCCCGAGTACTTGAGGGTACGTATGCCAGCATTTTATTCTCTAGGCCGATGTATACGTACTTAGTGCACGTTTCGTTTGACGTTGACGTTCAAGTGGAGCATTACTTCGCAGCGTTATTTGTACAACGGAGTAGTTTCGTTTGTCTTGTAGTGTTGGGTTTTGGGTATTTCTCGTGGTTTAGAAGCAGTTGGAAAGTTTTAATACGCCTCGTCAAATTTAGCTTGGTGGGAAACAGTATACACGTACGGTGCAATGGAGCAGTTTCGATGTTGATTTGCGAGTTTCTGGTGGTTTCGAAGCAGACGATATGTATAATACGCCTTGTAGTAAAGTTTATAGCGTATCGTGAAACAGTATACTTTCAAAAGCGACCGAGCGTAATCGGGATCCGCTACCTCGACCGCGATTGGCTCCCTTTCTCAAGTTTCGCAGATGAACCGATTGCGATCGAGAAATCCAGTTCGGATCGCTATCGAAAGTGCACCGCGTGTGACACCCTCAAGCGCTGTTCGGATTGTAATGTTGTTTGCCGGTGGATCATGAGCGCAGTTAGTTATTCATACTTGTAGACATTCCGTTACGTGTTTCTATGCAAACAAAACGATCTTGTGGCAAAATGTTGCCTGCTTAAAAGACGAAACCAACAAAACACATCCCGCGTGTCAGTATTTATTCGGCCCAGGCGGCAAACGAAATGTGCTCTCCCGTTCCCGTACATTGTTTTGCACATTCTTCTAGTCTTTTGATAATGGAACATTCACGAAGACCTGTTTGAAATCCCGCCTCGTAACCACACACGAGCTCGCACGGAGAGAAGTGGGGGAAAAAAAGAAACGCCGCAGCAATGCACCCCTGGATACAAAACTGCGCCACGTGCACGTTTAAATTTATGACATTCGTCGTTACATATATTTTGGATACATATCGTTCCACCAGAATTAATAGTGCAATATCAACCACTCTGTCTTCGGAGTGTCAGGCAGCGCTCGTTGCAGCGTTTTGGCGCGCGCCACTAGCGGCGCCTCGCGGCGAGTGTGTGAGTCTTTCGATGAGCGCCTTGCATGTTATTGCCGCCGGCGGTGGTCGTCGCGTCTGAAGGTTGGCTCCGCCGCATGTCAGTGGTGAGACTCGGCCGAGCCCCGCTCGACGTCTTGGATGGTGCGCGATGTGCTGATGCCGAGACTCTGCGGTGCGCTACAGGATGCCTTACGAATACGTGAGCAAGAAAGGAAGGCGCCTACCCGTTTACCTAGTAAGTCTTGCCGTCTTCGTTGTGTCCTTACTATTTCTCTTTTTTCTCTCGCTATCCCGCAAAGTTGACGTGACCGCAATGTCACACGGGGAAATCGCGCACTGCAGTGGTTGCGTTAAGTTTGCTTGTGATCATGACAGACGGAACTTTACGCAGCCTCCACGTGTATAACTGATGCATCTCTGAACCGCAACGTCGACGGGTCGCATACGATGGTTCTGAACGTGGACACGCCTTGCCGAGATGGACGCGTGCCAAGAGAGAAAAAAGAAAAATCGTGTCTCGCCTGAGTTGCCGTCCTATTTTTGTAGGCCGCTGTCACCGCGGTGTCCGAGGCAGCGGTTGTTAGGAAAGAGGCTCGCCACATTTTCTTTAATTAGTACGAGCTAACTTGGTGGTGACGCGGTGCTGTCGTGTTGTACGCATTGTGAGTTACTGGAGCCGACACCGAGCTATCGCATTTTGAAGCCTGGCGCTATACATAACCATTCTAACTGACATTGAAATGCGTAAATATGCTGACCATTGAGTTCGTCGCAATCATTTGACATAGTAGGACTTGCGTTAATCTTTAATGCTGGGATATCGACCGTTCGCCACGTAGCATCCGTCTCCACTTACTTGATTATTGTGTGATGCCCAGGAAGGTTGCCTAAACAAACGTAAATTATTCAAAGCACTACGTATGTAGTTACCCGTACCAATATATGAGAACAGAAAGCAATCCTAAACGAAAAATGTAATGCCAAGGTTTCATCGCCTTTTACTGTAGACTAGGCGAACGATCTTGCATAGGCAGTGATAACATGTTATAGCACAAATCGTGGACAACTGCAATGTGATCACTGTTCGCGCTCATTGCTAGACCGTGCGCGCATTTCATCCAAGAGGGCTGCGATACATTCTACGACAGCTTTCTCGCGTTTGTTGTTACACGTATTCGTGACTGCTTCGCCTGGATTCGGGTCTCCACAGGCCTGCCTGCAACGTTGTAAGGCAGCTGGTCACGTCGCCCGAGGTCGTGCTACGTTTGACGCGCAATTATTTATAGCGATTACTAAATAATCGTATATGTGCTTCCGTGGAATGCGGCGCTTCGTCATAGCTGGCGAGCTAAGGTTTTATTTATTCGTTTATTTTGCACGAAGCGTAAGCCGGACGAGTTAGCCGCATTTCTCGGTCTGCGTTGTGCGCAAGCATTGGTCTACCCCGTTGCGCCGCTGGCCATGGTGGTGCGTTGCAAAGATGTTATTCATATTATTCATACTGCGCTTTAATGCGTTCTGTATACGTTGCTTCTCGATTCAGCGTGCGATCTTTTCGCCATGCGCAGGCGACGTTAGCACGCATGCCTGCTTTCAAAGAGCGGATGTTGAGAAGACAGCTAGGCGGGCGCACACACGCATGAGCGCGCGACGAAGGAGAGGGAATTAGAGAGAGGGTGCCGGAAGGGCCGCTTGCGCATTTGTGTCAAGTGCCGCGCTTTTATTGTTTCGCAGACTGGTCATGGTCACGCCGTGCTCGCGATTTCGGCGTAGACAGTTGGGCTAATCGGTCTCAAATTGCATGGCGATACGTCTTCCAACGCACAAAAAAACACGCGCACGGAGTAAAAATCGAAAGCGGCGGTGTTCATTGGGGGGATCTTCATCTATATTAGCAGCCTGTCTTATAGTGCACTGTCAGGCGAAGGCCTTCTTCAAATGATATCCAGTTAACCACATCCTGTGCAAGGTAATTCCAATTTACCCCGGCGAACTTGTCGGCACAGGGGGCCAGCCAACGAGCAGTTTCATCAAAGGGACGTTAGCATCAGGTTTTGCTACGTGATGCTAACCATGTTACTGTACTTAAACAGTGTTTCAGCTAACTAACCCCAAATGCTTAATTTTGTGCGCTCTAAAGAAATCACGAAAAAAAAAATTCAACAGAAGAAGTGATCCTACGTTGCTGAGCAAGCTTTGCAACTGTTCCATTTCTATTTTGGTTAGTTACATTTTTAAACGTTAATTAAGGCGTCTTTGTTAATTACCAAGCTTACCGGCG